AGGAAGGAAGGAAGAATGAAAGCAAAATAGGGAGGAAGGGTGGAAGGAAAGAAGAGGAAGGAAAGAAGTATGAAAATGAAAAAGGAGGAGGAAGAATGGAACGAAAGAAAGGAAGGAAGGAAAGAAGGAAAAATGAAAACGAAAAAATGAAGGAAGGGTGGAAGGAAAGGAAGGAATCAGGAAAATCAAAAGGGGAAAGAAGGATGAAAGGAAAGAAAGAAAGGAAAAAGAAAGGCAGAGAAGTAAGGAATGAAGGAAAGAAGGACAGAAGGGAAGAAAGAGAGCTCTTGTATGTAGGAATGGGCCGTCTCTTGACTGTCTTCTCCTCCCAGCCTTTCCTCTGAATGTTCAACCTATTGGAACCGACTGACCTGCTTCTTTCCTAAAAGGAAGGGCCAGGATTTGAACCCGGGATGAGTTTGTTTCAGGCCAGCTTTCTTTGGGGAGGAAGGAAAGCAAACAGGGGGGGGGGGGGGCTGCATTCCCAGAAACCCACCTTCACCTTAGGGCTGAGGGGGAAACAGCAATTTTGGGGCAAACCCGGAATGGAATTTGCCCCCGGATCAATGGGATCGAGTTATTCATTAATATGGCCTCCCTTTTCTGGGGGGAAAGGTCACAAGGGCAGATTGTGCAGGATTTGGCAGCCCACGCTCAAGAGGAATCCCAATTTTCCTTTCAAACATCTTGCTTTCCCCTCTTTCCTTCTAGTTTGGGACCTGGGATCGCCTTCGACTGTTCTGCTGCTGCATCACAAACCTGGCTCACAATTCATTTGCTATCTATCCAAAGGATCTCCCATAAATCACAATTTATTTGGACTACCAATCCCAACATCCACGGTTTCTTTGGACTTCAAATCCCACCATCCATTGGGTCTTTAGATTACTAACACCACCACCCACTCTGTCTTTGAACTACAAATCCCACCATCCACTGTGTCTTTATTCTACAAACCCCACCATGTTTTTGGATGACAGACCCCATCATCCACTTTGTTTTTGGACTACAAAACCCAAAATGTCTTTCAACTACAAAACCCAAAATCCACTGTATCTTTGTACTACAAATCCCAAAATGTTCTTGGACTAAAAATCCCACAATCCACTGTCTTTGTACTACAAATCCCAAGACCCACTGTTTCTTTGGACTGCAAATCCCACAATCCAGTGTCTTTGTACTACAAATCTCAAATTGTCTTTGGAATACAACTCTCACAATCCACTGTGTCTTTTGGACTACACATCCAACAATCTACTTTGTCTTTGGACTACAAATCCCAAATGTATTTGGACTACAACTCCCACAATCCACTGTGTCTTTTGGACTACAAATCCCACAATCTACTTTGGACCACAAATCCCACAATCTACTTTGTACTACAAATCCCTCAATCTACTTTGCTTTTGGACTACAAATCCCAAATGTCTTTGCACTACAAATCTCAAAATGGCTTTGGAATACAACTCCCACAATCCACTGTGTCTTTTGGACTACACATCCAACAATCTACTTTGTCTTTGCACTACAAATCCCAAATGTCTTTGGACTACGACTCCCACAATCCACTGCGTATTTTGGACTACAAGTTCCACAATCTACTTTGGACTACAAATCCTACAACCCACTGTGTCTATGAACTACAAATCCCAACATGTCTTTGGAATACAATGCCCGCAATCCACTGTGTCTTTTGAACTACACATCCCACCACCCACTGTATCTTGGGACTACAACTCCCACTATCCACTGTGCCTTTGAACTGCAGACCCCACCATCCACTGTGTCTTTTGGACTACAAACCCCACCATCCACTAAGCTTTGGGACTACAAGCCCAGCCATCCACTCTGTCTTTCAACTACAAATCCCATCATCTACAACCATCAAACTGCTTTTATTCGGCACCAACTACTACTTTTCCAAGCGAGCGTCAGCAAAGGGAACACGAAGGCGGGGATTTAGTCCTGATTAGTCCCCAATTAGCCCAAGGCCTGGCCTCTAATCCAATTAAAGGCTCAGTCTGGGAAAATCTCCGCTTCATCTGTTGATTTGGATTCGAAACGCGGCTCTTTTTGGTATTTTTCTTTTATTTCGGCCGTAATAAATAAACAAACAACAAAATAGTAGAAATACGGCAGGAGTAATCAATGAGCCCAATCCCTCGTGGAAGCCCTACCACTCCAACTCCCATCATACACCCTACCACTCCAACTCCCATCATCCACACTACTACTCCAACTCCCATTATACACCCTACTACTCCAACTCCCATCATACACCCTACTACTCCAACTCCCATCATACACCCTACTACTCCAACTCCCATCATACACCCTACCACTCCAACTACCATCATACATCCTACTACTCCAATTCCCATCATACACCCTACTACTCCAACTCCCATCATCCACCCTACTACTCCAACTCCCATCATCCATGTGTTGTTTGGCAAGAGGTCAAAGCACAAAGTGAGGCAGGCAACATTTGCGGGGCACCTAAAGGGGATCCAAACTGACCTGTCCGAAGGGAGTCCGAGGCGCCGTCCTTCCGGCCGCTGGAAGCTTGGGATCACTCTGTGTCTCGATTCCTTCTGATCGGATTATCGGATCCGCTTTAGAGATCTCTGGGTCCCGCCGGGGCGACTCTATAGCGGGACCTGGGTTCAAATTGCAGCGAAAGGAACAGAATACAGAAAATGGTCAGCCACTGGTGACTTCCAATATATTTTGCAATTTAGGTCCCCCAAAATTGCAAAATAGACAAAAAATCCTTCCCCAAATCATCCCAGGACTCTTTGTCTAGGAGGAGGATGCAGTTGCTGTGGAGACAGGCCCGCCTCCAAGGGGGCGTGTCCCATCGTTGAGTGACATCACCACCAAGGCAGGGATGCAGGAGAGGCAGGCCGTGGTACCCGCTTTGTCCTCCCTCAGCATCCCCGGCAGCTCTCCATCCTTCTGAGTCCATGGGGCTGACTCTCCTGCTCTCGGCCTACAAGCTCTGCCGCCTCGCCATGTCTGGCCCCGAAAACCGTCCTGAAGGCTGGTGGGCCGAGGGTCTCGGGCCCTGTCCGGAGGCCTCCTCCCCGGGCTTGGCCGCCGACATCCAAGCCGCCCTGGACCGGGCGCTGCCCGAGCTGCATCAGGCCGTCTCTGCTGCCAAGCGTGCCGCCGGGCCAGAGGACCTGCAATTGGCCTTGGCTGAGATCCTGGCCCTGGTGGAGGAGGCTTGGCTGATGCCCGCCCTGGGCCGGGAAGTGGCCAGAGGGCTCTGCCACGCCGTCCGGCTGGAGGGAGGCCTGGACCTGCTCCTCACCCTCCTCCAGTCCCCTGACCTGCAGACCCAGTGCCAGGCCGGGAGGCTCCTCGAGCAGATCCTGGTGGCCGAAAACAGGTGAGCAAGCCATGAACAGGACTTGGATTTCTATCCCCGGCATTGCCTTGGCCTTGTCTGCTGCAGCATCACACTTCTGGCTCATGCATGCATTTGTCTTTTCTGTTTGACCCTACTTTTGACTGCCACAATCGCATTGGCCTTGTCTGCTGCAGCGTCACACTTCTGGATCATGAATGCCCTTGTCACTTCTTTTAGGTGCCACTTTCTATGGTATGATCGCATTGGCCTTCTCTGCTGCAGCATCACATTTCTGGCTCATGAATGAACATGACTGAAACCATCTTGAATTACATTACACATTGAAACACATTGAAAAACATACATATAATATTTGCAATTATCCTGACATTTATCACTTCTTCTAGATGCCACTCTTAACGGCACAATCACATTGGTCTGTTCTGCTGCAGCATCACATTTCTGGCTCATGAATGCATTTATCGCCTCTTCTAGATGCCACTCTTAATGGCACAATCAGATTGGTCTGTTCTGCTGCAGCATCACACTTCTGGCTCACGCATGCACTAGCCTCTTTTTTCAGTGACACAATCACATTGGTCTTTTCTGTTGTGGCATCACATTTTTGGCTTATGAATGCATTTGTCTTTTCTGTTTGACCCCACTTTTAACTGACACAATTGCATTGGCTTTTTCTGCTGCAGCATCACACTTCTGGCTCATGAATGCACTAGCCTCTTTTTTCAGTGACACAATCACATTGGTCTTTTCTGTTGTGGCATCACATTTTTGGCTTATGAATGCATTTGTCTTTTCTGTTTGACCCTACTTTCAATAGCACAACCACATTGGTCTTTTCTGCTGCAGCATCATACTTCTGGCTCACCGATTCGCCTCTTCTTTTAGGTACCGCTTTCCACAGCACAATCACATTGGTACTTTTTGCTGCAGCATCACATTTTTGGCTCTTTTCTGTTTATATTTCCTTTAACTGCCAGGATCGCATTGGTCTTTTCTGCTGTAACATCACACCTCTAGCTCTTTTCTGTTTGTGTTTCTTTTAACTGCCAGGGTCGTATTGGCCTTTTCTGCTGCAGTATCACACTTCCAGCTCATGAATGCATTTATCTCTTCTTGTAGATGCCACTTCCAACAGCACAATCACATTGGTCTTTTCTGCTGCAGCATCACACTTCCGTCACTTTTTTTGTCGGCTGTTAGGAATTGTGGGAGTTGAAGTCCAAAACACCTGGAGGGCTGAAGTTGGCCCATGCCTGTTCTAAAAGTTACTTTCTCCCTCTGCCCTTTTCTGAACCAGATGGAACAATGCAAAAGGGCAGAGTTGCCATCCGCTTCTGTGGTTCATCCATTTGGAAATGGGTTTGTGTTGGGGAACGCTTGGAGAGCGAAGCGGCTGCCTCGCCCTCTTCCGGACAGCGGCTTTTAGGGAGGATAATTGGGAAAATACATTAGCCGGAGCCAAAAGGGCGCCGATCGACCCCGTTGGCAGGGCTTCCTGGCACAAGGAAATAGCTTTGCTCCTACGAAACCACAGAGCCCATCGTCCCTGCCTTTGTTCTTGTTCAAGGAACCAGAACAATCTGTCCTGCATTCTTGTGGCAGTTCGTGATCATCGCCAAAGCTATGCCAAGAGGCCCCGACACTCCTATTGTTCCCTTGGGTGCTCTATGTCTCCCAAGGGCATGGGGAAAAGTGCTTGTGAAAAGAAAAGGGACCATTTGGAGCCTTGGCAGGATGGCATGAACTGCCAGCAGCGTTGGTGATTGCCAAATTGATGTCTACATTTTGGGCTCCCACGGGTCAAAAGCGTTTGCCTTTGCTATGACTCATGTTGACTGGGATTGCATTGGCCTTCTTTGCCGCAGAGTAGGGGGAAATGTGACTCTCTGACTCGCTTCTTTTGCAGGGATCGGGTGGCCCGCATCGGCCTGGGGGTGATCCTGAACCTGGCCAAGGAGAGGGAAAATGCAGCCTTGGCGCCCTTCACGGCGGGCATCCTGGCGCATATGTTCAAGCACTCTGAAGAGACCTCCCTGCGGCTTATTGCGGATGGGGCGCTGGATGCCATCCTCTTCTGGTGCCGTTGGAGTGACCCGGCTGTCCTGCGCCACTGCGCGGCCGCCCTAGCCAACTGTGCCATCTATGGTGGGCAGCACAGCCAGCGGTTGATGGCCGAGAAGCGGGCCCCCGAGTGGCTCTTCCCGCTGGCCTTCGCCAAGGAGGACCCCTGGGTCCAGTTCCAGGCCTGCCTAGCCGTGGCCGTCCTGGCTGCCAACAAGGAGATCGAGCGGGAGGTGGAGCGCTCGGGGACCCTGGCCCTGGTCGAGCCCTTCGTGGCCACACTGGACCCTGGCCGCTTTGCCCAGACCCTTCTGTGCAGCGTTGACCACAGTCAGGGCCGGGCCGCTGGGGACCTGCAGGGCTTGGTCCCGTTGCTGGACAGCTCCCGCCCCGAGGCCCAGTGCATCGCCGCCTTCTACCTCTGCGTGGAGGCCGACATCAAGGCCCGGCAGAGGAACACCAAGGTGAGCATTGCGGGAGGGTGGCCCTGGCCCCACAAAGAGTCCTGAAGACGCACACAACCTTCCAAAGGCCCTCAAAACCTTCCAAAGCCAAACAAAGTCCTCCAAAACCCACAGAAGACCCTCAAAGACCCCTAAAGWCCCTTAAAATCACCCAAAGACTCTCCAAGCACACCAAACATACTTAAAGTCTTCCAAAGACCCCACCAACTCCCCCAATTTTTTTCCCAAAGACCCTCAAAGGCTCTCAAAGCCTTCCAAAGCCAAACAAAGTCCTCCAAAACCCATGAAAGACCCCTAAAGATCCTTTAAACCCACCCAAAGACTCTCCAAGCCCACCAAACACACTTAAAGTCTTCCAAAGACCCCCAACAACTCTTAAAGCCCCCTCAAAACTTTCCAAATATGCCCAAGRTCTCTCGAAGCCTTCCAAAACCAAACAAAATCCTCCAAAACCCATGAAAGACTCTCAAAGATCCCTAAAGACCCTTTAAACTCACCCAAAGACTCTCAAAGCCCACCAAATACACTTAAAGTCTTCCAAAGACCCCCAACAACTCTCAACACCCCCCCCCAAACTTTCTAAAGCCCCYCCAAGGGCTCTCAAAGCCTTCCAAAACTAAACAAAGTCCTCCAAAACCCATAAAAGACCCTCAAAAGACCCCACAAYGACTCTCAAAGCYCACCAAACACACTTGAAGCCCACCAAACACACTTCCAAAGAGCCCCCCCCAAAAAACTTTCCAAATATCCCCAAGGTCTCTCAAAGCCTTTCAAAGCCAAAGTYCCCCAAAACCCATAAAAGAYCCTTAAAGACCCCTAAAGACCCTTACAATYCTCCAAACCCCCCAAAGGCCCTCAAAGCCTTCCAAAGAAAGTCCTCCAAAGCCCATGAAGGACTCTCAAAGAACTTCAAGTACTCTTACAATCCTCCAAAAGCTCCCAAAGGCCCAGAAGCCCTCCAAAACCCATAAAGCCAAACAAAGTCCTCCAAAACTCACCAAGGACCTTCAAAAAACCCTGAAGACCCTTAAAAACTTCCAAAGACCCCCAAATCCCTTTCAAAGAGACTTAAAGTCTTCCAAACACCCAAGCAACTCCCAAAAGCTCTCAAAGACTTGCAAAGATCCTCGCAGTGCTCCAAACCCCCTCAAAGACCCTGAAGACCCTTCAAACCATCCAGCCTCTCAAAGCCTTCCAAAAAACCCCAAATACACTTAAAGTCTTCCAAAGACCCTCAACAACTCCCAAAGGCCCCAAAGACTTCCAAAGCCAACCAAAGTTCTCCAAAACCTTCCAAAGACCCCGAAAGACCCTTGCGGCCTTCCAAAGCCCACCAAACACACTTAAAGTCTTCCAGAGACCCTAAGCAACTCCCAAAGGCTCTCAAAGACTTCCAAACACCTTCATAGTCCTCCAAACCCCATCAAAGCCATCCAAAGACCCATGATGACACTTCCAAAGACCATGAACAACTCCCAAAGGCCCTCAACGTCTTCCAGAGACCCTCAGAGCCTTCCTAAGCCTCCCAAAGACCCTCAACAACTCCTAAAGGCCCTCAATGTCTTCCAAAGACCCTCAAAGTCCTCCAAAGTCCCCCATAAAGCTCTCAAGACCCTCAAAAGACCCTCAAAGACCCCCCCAAATCCCCCAAGGGCCCTCAGAGCCTTCCAAAGGCCCTCCAGAGCTCTTCTTTCCCTGCAGATCTTTGCGGAGATCGGGGCAGTGCAGAGCCTGAAGCGGGTGGTGTGCTACTCCTCGAACGGGACCACCTCAGCCCTGGCCAAGCGGGCCCTGTCCACCATCGGGGAGGAGGTCCCCCGGCGCCTGCTGCCCTCCGTCCCCAATTGGAAGCCCCCCGAGGTCCAGGAGTGGCTCCAGCAGATCGGTTTCGAGAAGCACCGCTCGCTCTTCCTGGTGTGGACGGCGTTGGGTGGGGGGCTCTGGGGTGGGAAAGTCGGTCCAAACTAAAGGGGGTCTTCTCTTCTCTTGACTGCCAAGGAGCACCAAGTGGATGGAGACCTTCTGCTGAGGCTGACAGAAGACGACTTGGTGGGAGATCTGGGCATGACGTCCAGCATCACAAGGAAGAGGTAAGACCCCCAAGTCCAGGAATTAGGCCAACAGTCCGAACTGGCCAAGCAAATCTAGATATACCCCAAAGTACAGGAACGTTAACCTCAAATCAATTAGCATCCTGAACTCCACTAACAATGGAGTTGAAGCAAACTTGGTATACAAAACTCCCATGACCAAGAGAAAATACTGGAAGTGTTTGGTGGGCACTGACCTTGACTTTTGTGAGTTGTAGTTTGCTTACACACAGAGAGCACTGTGGACTCAAACAATGATGGATCTGGAACAAACTTGGCACGGATACTCAATATGCCCAAATGTGAACACTGGTGGAATTTGGGGAAAATAGACCTTGGCATTTGGGAGTTGTCATTGCTGGGATTTATAGTTCACCTACAATCAAAGAGCATTCTGAACCCCACCAATGATAGAATTGGGCCAAACATCCCACACAGAGACCCCCATGACCAAAATAAAATACTGGAAGGGTTTGGTGGACACTGACCTTGACTTTTGGAGTTGTAGTTCACCTACACACAAAGAGCACTGTGGACTCAAACAATGATGGATCTGGACCAGACTTGGCACAGATACTCCATATGCCCAAATGTGAACACTGGTGGAGTTTGGGGAAAATAGACCTTGATGTTTGGGAGTTGTCGTTGCTGAGATTTATAGTTTACCTACAATCAAAGAGCATTCTGAACTCCACCAATGATAGAATTGGGCGAAACTTCTCACACAGAACCCTCATGACCAACATAAAATACTGGAAGGGTTTGGTGGACACTGACCTTGACTTTTGGAGTTGTAGTTCGCCTAAACACAGAGATCACTGTGGACTCAAACAATGATGGATCTGGACCAAACTTGGCACAAATACTCAATATGCCCAAATGTACACACTGGTGGAGTTTGGGGGAAAATAGACCTTGACATTTGGGAGTTGTCGTTACTGGGATTTATAGTTCACCTACAATCAAAGAGCATTCTGAACTCCACCAACAATTGAACCCAACCCTGGATGGCCATCTGTTGGGGGTGCTTTGAACGTGATTTTCCTGCTTCTTGGCAGAATGGGGTTGGACTGGATGGCCCATGAGGTCTCTTCCAACTCTATGATTCTATGATTTGCAGAGCCCCAAGGGCTCCACAGAGCACCCTTTGAGAACCACTGACTTAGAGACACCCAACCCACTAAACCAGGCTTAGATGGATCAGGTATGCATTTCACAGTGACCACGCTGAAGAATCGTGGCGACTGGTCGGAGCTGCTCAGCTGTCTCTCCCTCTCCTCTCTCAGGTTCTTTCGTGAATTAACGGAGCTGAAGACCTACGCCAACTACTCCTCTTGTGACCGCAGCAACCTGGCTGACTGGTTGGGAGCCGTAGAGCCCAAATTCCGACAGTACACCTACCCACTGGTCTCCTGCGGCATCGACCGCAACTTCCTCCACCGGGTCACCGAGCAGCAGCTCCAGGAGGACTGCCGCATCGGCCTCGGGTTCCACCGCGTCCGCATCCTCAACGCTGCCCGAGGTCATTGTCGGCCCCTCCGTGGCGCCTACAACTTATTTATTTACTTACAGTATTTATATTCCGCCCTTCTCACCCTGCAGGGGACTCAGGGCGGATTACAATGCACATATACACGGTAAACATTCAACGCCAGTTAGGTATACAACATATATAAACAGACAAAGAGGCTATTTAACATTCCAGCTGTGCCCAAGCTTTCCTGGCTCTATTCCGGCCACAGGGGGAGCCATTGTGACACCGAGTCCTTTGATGGAGTACTTCCTCATTCTTCTGCACGCTGCTGGAAGGTTTTATGGCATTGTAAAGTAGTTAAATGAGGCTCCACACCAGGCATGTAGCCGGGGGGGGGGGGGGGGGGGCTTGAGGGGCTTCAGCCCCCCCCCCCCGAAATTCTCAGGGTGGTCCGTGAGAAGGCCTTACTGGTACATTATTTAAACTGTTATGTTTTCGGGGTATATGGCCATGTTCTAGAGGCATTTCTCCTGACGTTTCGCCTGCATCTATGGCAAGCATCCTCAGAGGTAGTGAGGTCTGTTGGAACTAGGAAAATGGGTTTATATATCTGTGGAATGATTGGGGTGGGGCAAAGAACTCTTCTCTGCTGGAGCTAGGTGTGAATGTTTCAACTGACCACCTTCATTAGCATTTGAAGGCCTGGCTGAGCCTGGGGAATCTTTTGTTGAGAGGTGTTAAGATGTGCCTGGTTGTTTCCTCTCTGCTCTTTTGCTGTTGTAATTTTAGAGTTTTTTTAATACTGATATTATTTAAACTGTTATATTTATTCATATCATGATCTGATCACCATGCTCAATATATCCCATATTGGGATAATGATACAAAAGGTTTGCTAGGGTAGATCCTCAGCCCCCCCCCCCTTTGAATCAAACTCAGCCCCCCCCCCTCCCCCCCCCCCCCCGAAACAAAATCCTGGCTACGGGCCTGCTCCACGCATAAGGTGGTACCTAAATTTCCTACTTGACAGATGCATAGGTCGACAGCAAGCTAGACGAATGGCTGGAAGCTTACTCCGATCCGGGCTGGCTTCGAACTCATGACCTTTTGGTCAGTAATGATTAAATACTAGGCATGAGCAATCCATGGTTCTAAATGGTTCTAAAGTACAGTTCTGGTGGTGAAAAGTAGGGGGCGCTGGTGCTTTGCTTCTACAGTGCTGGTAAAGTTCTGGTGGTGAAAATTTCAGAAGTCTAACAAAAATTTCATTAATATTTCATTATTGGTAATTTTTATGACAGAACCAATTAGGAAGTTTTGTTAGAGTTCTGAAATTTTCACCATTTGTAGAAGCAAAGCACCAGCGCCCCCTAGTGTTCACCACCAGAACTATAGTTTTGTAAGTACTCTAGAACCATTTAGAACCATGGATTGCCCAGGCCTATTAAATACAGCTGGCTCCACCACAGCCTGGAACAATTCTCAGCACTGTAGTCCAACCACGCTTCCCTTCCTCTCTCCTTAGAAATGCTCCACTCCCCTTTGCCCTGCAACAGCACCAAGTCCATCGCCGAAGGGACCGACGTCTTCATCAGCTACCGGCGCAACACCGGCTCCCAGTTGGCCAGGTGGGTCACACTCTCTCAGCCCTTGAGGTTGCCCAGAGTTGGAAGAGGCAGGACACATCAATCTCTGCACCTTTCAGTGAGCTCTCCATCCTACTAGCATGTCTCTCATCTATCTAGATCAGTGCTCCTCAACCTTCCTCATGCCGCGACCCCTTAATACAGTTCCTCATGTGGTGGTGGCCCCCAACCATAACATTGTTTTCGTTGCTACACCACAACTCTCATTTTGCTCCGGTTATGAATCATCATGTAAATATCTGATATACAGGATGTATTTTCATTCACTGGACCAAATTTGACACAAATACTCAATATGCCCAAGTCTGAATACTTAGATCTCGACATTTGGGAGTTGTAGTTGGTGGGATTTATAGTTTGCCTACAATGAAAGAGCATTCTGATCTCCACCAACAATAGAACTGAATCAAACTTGGCACACAGAATTCCCATGATCAACAGAAAATACTGGAAGGATATGGTGGGCATTGACCTTGAGTTTTGGAGTTGTAGTTCACTTACATCCAGTGGACTCAAAACAATGATGGATCTGGACCAAACTTGGCACAAATACTCAATATGTCCAAATATAAACACTGGTGGAGTTTTGGGGAAATAGACCTTGGCATTTGGGAGTTGTTGTTGCTGGGATTTATAGTCCACCTACAATGAAAGAGCATTCTGATCTCCACCAACGATGGAACTGAATCAAACTTGGCACACAGAACTTCCATGACTAACAGAAAATACTGGAAAGATATGATGGGCATTGACCTTGAGTTTTGGAGTTGTAGTTCACCTACATCCAGTGGACTCAAAACAATGATGGATCTGGACCAAACTTGGCACAAATACTCAATATGCCCAAATGTGAACACTAGTAGAGTTTGGGGAAAATAGATCTTGGTATTTGGGAGTTGTCGTTGCTGGGGTTTATAGTTCGCCTACAAACAGTGAATTGGGGAAAACTTCCTACACAGAATCCCCATACATATATAAATGCATCTCTCTCACTCTATATTTATGTACGTATGCATATATTTCTGTATCTATATCTCTCTATATTTATCTGTCTCTATATGTATCTGTTTCTATATGGATGTATCTCTGAATGTATCTCTGGATGTATATATGTATGTATATATCTCTATATGTATGAATGTATGTGTTGTAAGGGCTTGGACTGGATAGCCCTTGACACCCCTTCCAACTCTTATCTATCTATCTATCTATCTATCTATCTATCTATCTATCTATCTATGATATCCATCTCTCATTCATCTATCTATCTATCTATCTATCTATCTATCTATCTATCTATCTATCTATCTATCTATCTATCTATGCTTTTCATCTATCTATTATTCATCTATCCATCTCTATCACTCTTTACCTATCAAGCGCCAGCGTGGCCTATGACGATCCCCACTTGACCATTGGTGACCTTGGGTGGGTCACACTCTCTCGGCCCCAGACATACCTTGGTTTGACCCTGGGTTCCTCCTATGCCTCTTGTCTCTCCGGACAGCCTGCTGAAGGTCCACCTGCAGCTGCACGGCTTCAGCGTCTTCCTGGATGTGGAGAAACTGGAGGCCGGGAAGTTTGAGGACAAGCTGACGCAGAGTGTGGCCGGAGCCCGCAACTTCGTCCTGGTCCTCTCCCGCAACGCCCTCGACCGCTGCATGGGTGACCACGGCGGGAAGGACTGGGTCCACAAGGTGAGACACGTCAGCCCCTCACGTCGGGGAGTCTAGCAGATTTGCAGGTCTTACCACCGTGTATCTGTTCTCTAGGAAATTGTGACCGCCTTGAAGTGTGGGAAGAATATCATCCCGGTCACCGACCATTTCGACTGGCCGGATCCGGAGAAGGTTCCCGAAGACATGAGAGCTGTCCTGAAGTTCAACGGCATCAAGTGAGTGGGTTCGGAGAAGGTCCATATTTATTTATCGTGTCAGAAGCGAATTGATACTACATAAAAGCTTGGTCTTATACGAAATTTCCTTTGACCACTTGGAGTGCCTCTGTTGTGGCTGTGAGAAGGTCCTCCATTGCACATGTGGCAGGGGTCATTCCACATTGTAATAGGTGGTCTGCGGTTTGCTCTTCTCCGCACTCGCATGTTGTGGACTCCACTTTGTGGCCCTATTTCTGAAGGTTGGCTCTGCATCTCGTGGTCTGTTCAGTCCCTTCCAAGTTGTCCAGTCTTCCATGTGCCCAGGAGGGAGTCTCTCATCTGGTCTCAGCCACTGACTGAGGTTCTGGGTTTTAGCCTGCCACTTTTGGACTCTCGCTTGCTGAGGTGTTCCTGCGAGTATCTCTGTAGATCTTAGAAAACTATTTTCCTATGTATTCTCTAAATTAGACAGGGACTGTGGCACAGCTGTCTGGGAATCAGTTGCATTAAGATCACTACTGACTGAAAGTTCATGAGTTCGAAGCCAGCCCGGGTCGGAGTGAGCTTCCGACCAATTTGTGTAGCTTGCTGCCGACCTTTGCAGCGTTTATGCAGAGCATTATTTATAATGTAATACATCCCACTTAGACTACTGCAACACTCTCTACGTGGGGTTGCCTCTGAAGACTGCCCGGAAGCTGCAGCTAGTCCAACGCTCGGCAGCCAGACTACTAACAGGTGCTGGGTACAGGGAGCACACTACTCCGCTGTTACACCAGCTCCACTGGCTGGCAATTAGCTTCCGAGCACAATTCAAAGTGCTGGTGTTAACCTATAAAGCCCTGTTTACCTCTCCAAATGTATTCTCCCCTATGAACCATCAAGATTATTAAGATCGTCTGGAGAGGCCCTGCTCTTGGTCCCACCGGTCTCACAAGCGCGTCTGGTGGGGACAAGGGACAGGGCCTTCTCGGTGGTGGCCCCGCGACTCTGGAACTCTCTCCCACCTGAGGTCAGAACCGCCCCTTCTATCCTGACATTTAGGAAACAGGTGAAGACGTGGTTATGGAGACAGGCTTTCGATGAATGAGACAACACCCTAAGATTTGGATGGAAGATGATGTATAATCAATTTTAGTATGACGACTGACCACTGTAGTTTTAAATATATTTGTTGTTTTAATATGTTATTGTAATATGAACTATGATGTTTTACTGATTGTATGTGTTTTTTATGGTTGGAAACCGGTCCGAGTCCCTCAAAGAAGTGAGAAGGTCGGTATATAAAACTTTGAAATAAATAAAACTACTAATAAAATAATAATATATTTATTATTATATTTTATATTACATGTAATATTACTAATAATATTACAATATAATGATATAGTACAATATAGTAATATTTAATACTGATATTGTACTATGCTAATAATATAATATATTGTATGTACCTATATCTTGTAAAGCTGCTCTGAGTCCCCTTCGGAGTGAGAAGGGCGGCATATAAATGCCGTAAATAAATAAATAAATAAATCTGCTGACAGGTCTATGAAGGCCCATGACACTATGTAACAAAATGAAAAATAGTAAGTTCCTGTTTCAAAAGTGTTATTTCCTGTTTCATTGTGCAGTACTTTCCAGCACTTGCCTTTGGCGCCACCTAATGTTCACTCATGGAATTGCAAGAGGGTTCCACTTTTCAACCAATTTTCTGGCTGTGATCCCTTGGGATCAATGGATATGGAACTGGATGCTGGGGAAGTGACTTTTGGGGGTTCTCATCTGAGTTTTCCACCCTTTTCGCCCTTTCCACAGGTGGTCCCACGAATACCAAGAGGCCACCATTGAGAAGCTGATCCGCTTCCTGCAAGGCCGCTCCTCCCGGGATTCCTCCGCTGGATCGGAGAACAGCCTGGAAATCAGCCCTCCTCCGGGCCAGAACTGATGGGACTTAGAGTGAGGGTGGCAAGAAGGGGAAGAGGGAAACCAAAAACCCCTTTCAAACTAGTGTGGCCTTATATATCCTGCCCAAATAACCCAAGCTTGGCCATTTGGGAGGTCTACCATTGGGGAGGAAAGGGATGATGGGAGTTGTAGTTCAGGACAATGCTCATTTCTCCCTCCAGTGGGCTTTCCCTCTTGGCTATGGCGATGATGGGAATTGTAGTTAAGGACAATGCTCACTTCCCACCTCCAAGTGGGCTTTCCCTCTTGGCTATGAGAGTTGTAGTTCAGGACAATGCTCATTTCTCATCTCCAAGTAGACTTTCCCTCTTGGTTATGGGGATGATGGGAGTTGTTGTTCAGGACAAGGCTCATTTCCCACCTCCAAATGGTATTTCCCTCTCGGCTATGGGGATGATGGGAGTTGTAGTTCAGAACAATGCTCATTTCCCACCTCCAAGTGGGCTTTCCCTCTTGGCTATGGGAGTTGTAGTTCAGGATAATATTCATTTTCCATCTCCAAGTGGGTTTTCCCTCTTGGCTATGGGAGTTGTAATTCAGAACAATGCTCATTTCCCACCTCCAAGTGGGCTTTTCCTCTTGGCTATGGGGATGATGGGAGCTGTAGTTCAGGACAATGCTCATTTCTCCCTCTGGTGGACTTTCCCTCTTGGCTATGGGGATGATGGGAGCTGTAGTTCAGGACAATGCTCACTTCCCACCTCCAAGCGGGCTTTCCCTCTTGGCTATGGGAGTTGTAGTTCAGGACAATGCTCATTTCTCATCTGCAAGTGGACTTTCCCTCTTGGGTATGGGGATGAAGGGAGTTGTAGTTAAGAACAATGCTCATTTCCCATCTCCATGTGGACTTTCCCTCTTGGCTGTGTGGATGACAGGAGTTGTAGTTTTGGACAATGCTCATTTCTCACCTCCAAGTGGGCTTTCCCTCTTGGCTATGGGAATGATAGGAGTTGTAGTTCAGGAAAATGCTCATTTCTCATCTCCAAGTGGGCTTTCACTCTTGGCTATGGGGATGACGGGACTTGTAGTTCAGGACAATGCTCATTTCCCACCTTCAAGTGGGCTTTCCCTTTAGGTTATGGGGATGATGGGAGTTGTAGTACAAGACAAGCCCACAGCCTTACCTCCGAGAAAGGGTTTTCTTGCCCCCGAGGAGGGGATGATGGTGGTTGTAGTACAAGAAAAACCCACGTCCTTACCTCCCCCATTGTTTGGGGGATGATTGGAGTTGCAGAGAGGAAGTTCATTTTCCCCACCCTCGAAGCAGCACCCCCTCCCTTGGTTAGGGGGATGATGGGAGTAGTAGTCCAGAAGAAAAGCCCACTTGAGCACCCCCTTTGCCTTTTGAAGCCATGCAAACCCCTTTAGTGCCTGGGCAGGAGCTTTATTTACTCAGTTTAGTACATAACGGAGGGACATGATGCCTTTGTAGGATCCATCTTGGATTAAAAATACATACACATCCTATATATCTATTTACTTCTCTACTTGGCTTCTCTTCTCGGGGATTTATGTATGGGTTTACTAAGTGGCACGCGGTGGACGAGGCTAGTTCCGCTTTGTTATTATTAATATACTCAAGACTTAAAGGCCCTTGTAGACCTAAACATGAGGTCGTTTCAAGGCTCAGAGGGGGGGAAAGGCACTCTGCCCATGCTCCAAAGTCCTCTCGTCCTTCAAGGAAGCAGCAAAGTCCAAGAACAAAAGTATATTAATCCTCTTTACGATCCTTGCTCTCTCGGCAAAGGCAGATAAGGGACGGATTATCTCTTTCCGGGACAAAAGGGGGAAGAGAATGCGGAGAGACAGAGGCCCATCTTCAAGGAGGGAGAAAGGGGGAAACGCGGGGCCCCACGGCCTCATCGAACCAGGGATCGAGAGATAAGGTTATCGCCACGGCGTGTGGAAAAAAAGGGTGTTGCACCCACGTTGGGGGTTTTATTGCCACGTTTGCAAACCAAACTGCGTCCCGTCTGCTTCTAGTCCTCAGTGTTTACAGATAAGACCCGTCAGGCCACAGATGGCTACCTTGTCGAGGTGATTCGGACTCATTTCAGGCTACGACGGCGCCGATTCAGTGGGTTCGGGCACGTCGTTAAAATGCCGATATTCGGGCTTCGAGTCCTGGATTTGTACCCAGCTGCAGAGAGAAAGAGAGAGAGGAAAGGGAGATGTAGTTTTCCCAAAGCAATGCAAAAGCCAGGGATACTCGGAGTTGCATTGAGCCCTTACCCGATGATGGCCGCCGGGAGGAGGAGGAGGACGGCGCCGAAGAGGAAGGGGAAGCCTTTCATGAAGGGGAGGGTGGCCGGGTAGAGGGAGGTGAAGGTCCCCGAGGCCCCCACGGAGCAGAGGCCTTCCACGCAGGCCACGGCCGAGAAGAGCGCCCCTGGTGGAGGAGGGAGAAAAGGGCATGAGCAAATTTGAGTTCCGAGTTGGTAGACAAAACTGTGGTCGAGGGGGGATTTGAACCCGTTACCTTGCTCCGTTTCGTCCACAAGCCTGGACAGCTTTGCCCGGAGGATGGGAGTGACCGTCATGGAGAGGAAGAGGAGGCCGTAACCTGTGAGACAAGGAAGACAACGTGGAAATACAGGTTGCTTACCTGTAACCTCTAGTTTCCCGAGTGGTCACCTGTGAATTCGCACATATGGTAGTGCGATTCACAGTTGACCACGATAGGAAAATAAAATCGCCTGCAATACCAACACAGGTCTCTAGGTGTCAGGTCTCTCCTAAGGTGGAAAGATAGACTGGAAAGCACTACTAAAATATTATTATTATTCAGTTCTTGTGGGTTTTTTCGGGCTATATGGCCATGTTCTAGAGGCATTTCTCCTGACGTTTCGCCTGCATCTATGGCAAGCTTCCTCAGAGGTCTGCTGGAGCTGGGAAAAAGGGGTTTATATATCTGTGGAATGACCAGGGTGAGACAAAACAGTTGGAATAGTCATCCGCAAACCAGATCAACAATTGGGTCACACCGTTTACAGAAACCCCACACACACAGATAGATATCTACATAAACTCCAACCATCACCCAAGTCAAAAAAGAAGCACCATTAAAGCCTTGGCAGACCGTGCAAAAAGAATCTGTGAACCCCACCTCCTCCAAGATGAACTGAACCACCTCAACTGGGCTCTCCAGGCCAATGGATACTCCACCTCAGACATCAGAAGAGCTGCAAGACCAAGAACAAGCCACGAGAGTCAAGATGAAGATCCACCCAGAGGAAAAGTGTTCCTGCCATACATCAAGGGAACCACTGACCGCATAGGGAAGCTGATGAGGAAACACAACATACAAACAATCTGCAGACCCACCAAGAAAATCCAACAAATGCTACATTCAGCAAAGGACAAGAGGGATCTTCTCACCTCTGCAGGAGTCTACCGTATACCATGCAGCTGTGGACAAGTCTACATAGGGACCACCAAACGCAGCATTGCCCAAACACGCGAATCAAGGAACATGAAAGGCACTGCAGACTACTTCAACCAGAGAAGTCAGCCATCGCAGAGCACCTGATGAACCAACCTGGACACAGCATATTATTTGAGAACACAGAAATGCTGGACCACTCTCACAACCACCATGTCAGACTACACAGAGAAGCCATTGAAATCCACAAGCATGTGGACAATTTCAACAGAAAGGAAGAAACCATGAAAATAAACAAAATCTGGCTACCAGTATTAAAAAATTCTAAAATACAGCAGAGAGGAAACAGGCAGGGACATCGAATTACCTTTCAAGAAGAGTTTGCTCCAGGCACAGTCAGCACCTTGTATGCTAATCAAGGTGGTCAGTTGAAATATTCACACCTGGGTCCAGCAGACAAGAGTCCTTTGTCCCACCCTGGTCGTTCCACAGATATACAAACCCTTTTTCCTAGTTCCAACAGACCTGATTCTAAGAGCTTGCCATAGATGCAGGCGAAACGTCAGGAGAGAATGCCTCTAGAACATGGCCATATAGCCCGAAAAAACCCACAAGAACTGAGTGATTCCGGCCATGAAAGCCTTCGACAATACATTATTATTATTATTATTATTATTATTATTATTATTATTATTATTATTATATTGTCTTCAATACCATCTCCAGCCACTGGGGTCATCTTCCCCAAGCAAGACAGGCAAAGTGGAAGTAAAAAAAATGGCCTGCAATACCATCCCTCGCCTCTAGGTGTCAGGTCTCTCCTAAGTTGGGAAGATAGACTGGAAGGCATTATTATGTTGTTGTTGTTGTTATTATTATTATTATTATTATTATTATTATTATTATTATTATTATATTCAATACCATCTCCAGCCACTGGGGACATCTTCCCAAAGCAAGAAATGCAAAACGAAAGTAAAAAAAAATGGCCTGCTATACCATCCCTGGCCTCTAGCTGTCAGGTCTCTCCTAAGTTGGGAAGATAGACTGGAAGGCATTATTATGTTAATAATAATAATAATAATAATAATAATAATAATAATAATTTGTCTTCAATACCATCTCCAGCCACTGGGGTCATCTTCCCCAAGCAAGACAGGCAAAGTGGTAGTAAAAAGAATGGCCTGCAATACCATCACTGGCCTCTAGGTGTCAGGTATCCCCTAAGATGGGAAAACAGATTGGATTGCATTAATAATAATAATAATAATAATAATAATAATAAAATATTGTCTGCAGTACCATCTCCAGCCACTGGGGTCATCTTCCCCAAGCAAGAAATGCAAAGTGAAAGTTTAAAAAGGCCTGCAATTTCATCTCAGGCCTCTAGGTGTCAGGTATCCCCTAAGATGGGAAAATAGACTGGACAGCATCGTTAATATTAATATTATTATTATTATTTATAATAATAATAGTAGCTCCCGGTGGCGCAGTGGGTTAAACCCCTGTGCCGGCAGGACTGAAGACTGACAGGTTGCAGGTTCGAATCCGGGGAGAGGCGGATGAGCTCCCTCTATCACCTCCAGCTCCTCATGCGGGGACATGAGAGAAGCCTCCCACAAGGATGATAAAAACATCAAATCATCCAGGCGTCCCCTGGGCAACGTCCTTGCAGACAGCCAATTCTCTCACACCAGAAGCGACTTGCAGTTTCTCAAGTCACTCCTGACATGACAAAATAATAATAATAATAATAATAATAATAATAATAAAATATTGTCTGCAGTACCATCTCCAGCCACTGGGGTCATCTTCCCCAAGCAAGAAATGCAAAATGAAAGTTTAAAAATGGCCTGCAATTTCATCTCAGGTCTCTAGGTATCAGGTATCCCCTAAGATGGGAAAATTGATTGGACGGTCAAGCCTCTAGGTGTCAGGTCTCTCCTAAAATGGGAAGATAAAATGGAAGGCATCATTATTATCATTATCATTATCAATAATGATAATAATAATAATAATGCCTGCAATACCATCTCAGGCCTCTAGGTGTCAGGTCTTTCCTAAAAAGGGAAGATAAAATGGAAGGCATTAGTATTATTATCATTATCCATAATAATAATAATAATAATAATAATAATGCCTGTAATACCATCTCAGGCCTCTAGGTGTCAGGTCTGTCCTAAAAAGGGAAGATAAAATGGAAGGCATTATTATTATCATTATCAATAATAGTAATAATAATAATAATAATAATAATAATGCCTGCAATACCATCTCAGGCCTCTAGGTGTCAGGTCCCTCCTAAAAAGGGAAGATACAATGGAAGGCATTAGTATTATTATCATTATCCATAATAATAATAATAATAATAATAATAATAATAATAATACCTGAAGTACCATCTCCAGCCACTGGGGACATCTTCCCAAAGCAAGAAATGCAAAGTAAAAAATGGCCTGCAATACCAACTCAAGCCTCGAGGGGTCAGAAGAGAAGATAAAGCATTATTATTATTATTATTATTATTATTATTATTATTATTATTATTATTAGGCCTTTAGGAGTCAAACATCTCCTAAGAAAGGAAGATAAAGTGGAAGCTAATAAAATAATCACAATAATAATGCCTGGACTGACCTTGAAGGAGCTGGGGGTGGTGACGGCCGACAGGGAGCTCTGGCGTGGGCTGGTCCATGAGGTCACAAAGAGTTGGAGACGACTGAACGAATGAACAACAATAATGCCTGCAATACCACCCCTAGACACTAGGATTAAGCAGAAGACAACATATTATTATTATTATTATTATTATTATTATTATTATCTACTTTATTCTAACCCTGCCTTTCTCCACATGGTGACTCCCAAAGGCGGCTTATAACGACATGACCCAACCAAGCAATACCATCTCCAGTCTTTAGGTGTCAGGTCATTTCAAAGGAATGCTGGCAAAGTGAAAGTAAGAATGGCTCGCTATACCATCCACAGCCACTAGGTGTCAGGTCTCTCCTAAGCAAGGAAGACAAAGCAGTCGGTATAAGGCCAGCCTACCTGTGAACATGAGTGCTGTTGTCGTTGCCACGGAGAGGACCACTAGACCCGAGATGTTGGACAGGAGCCCCAGTTCGGCTACCCAGGCCTCCGGCATCCATTTCTGGAGCAGCCGCAGTGCCGCCAAGCTGCTCAGGAAGGTCAGGTAGGAGGCGGCCGAGCCGAGGCCGACCATCTCCGGGCCCCAACAGAGCGGGGAGCCGAGTTCGAAGAGCACCAAGAGGCCCCTGGTGCCAAAATGGACAGTGACCACGAAGAAGAAGGACAGGGTGAAGAGGACGAGCTTCTTCCAGGCAGGGCCTACGTAGAGGCGGGCGACAGCCCTGTAATGGCGGGTGGTGAGAAGCTTGGCAGGTTGGGGGTGGGCGACGGATTCCTGGAGGATGAAGCCGGCGTAGGCTGCGGCAGCCAAGCTCGTGCCGAAGACCATCCAAAAGGGGGCCACGTAGCCTTGAGCTCGGAGCCACGGGCCACCGGCCAAACCGGCCGCCATCCCGGCCAAGCCCAAGCAGGCCTCCAAGACGGCCACCCGGAACGTCCGCGTCGAGGCGGTGGTGACGTCAGCGGTGTAGGCGAAGCTCCCGGCCAAGATCAGGTTGTAGTCTCCAGAGAGGCCAGCCATGATGCGGCCCACTAAGAGGTAGCCCACCGGCCACTGGCCATACATGACCGCCAGGTAGATGCCCGCCTGGAGGGTCATGCCCAGCGCCGGGAGGACCAGGGCTGGCCGGCGGCCGACGGAGTCACTCCAGGGTCCCAAGAGGGTCACCGCAAAGAGGCCCACCAGGAAGCCCGAGAGGCTCAGGTAGAGGTTCCAGTGGGCCACCAAGGTCTCCAGCGCCTGGAAAACAGGCCAAAGGGGGGGTCAATGGGAGGGCAAGGTGACTGTTGACCCCCAAGGAGTCCCCAGAAGAGCAGGAAGAAAGGGACAAAAGGAGTTAAAATGGGAATGGGCAAACTTCGGCCTTCCAGGTGTTTTGGACTGGATGGCCAACAAGGTATGTTTCAACTCTATGATGCTATCTATCTGTCTGTCTGTCTGTCTGTCTCTTTCTACCAATCTATCTATCTCTCTATCTTTCTATCTCTCTGTGTCTCTCTATCTCTATCTATCTCTGTCTATGTATTTACCTATGCATCTATCTACATATCTGTCTTCGTATACATGTGTATGTATCTATTTTCCTATTTTCCTATCTCTATCTCTCTATCTGTCTATGTATCTATCTGTCCATCCATCCATTTATCTGTGTCTACGTATCTATGAATGCATCTATCTACCTATGTATCTATCTACCTGTCTTTGTATATATGTGCTTATCTAGTTTCCTATTTTCCAATCTATCTATTTACCGACCTACCTATGCATCTATCTATCTATCTAGGCATCTATGTATGCATGCATGCATGCATCTATCTATCTATCTATCTATCTATCTATCTATCTATCTATCTATCTATCTATCTATCTATCTATCTATCTATCTAGTTTCCTATGTATGTATGTATGTATGTATGTATGTATGTATCTATCTATCTATCTATCTATCTATCTATCTATCTATCTATCTATCTACGTAGTTTCCTATGTATGTAGCTATGTATCTATCTATCTATTTATCTAGGTGTCTATGTATCAATCTATGAATGTATCTGTCTGTCCATCCATCCATCTATCTATGTTTCTATGTATTTATCTACATAAGCATCTATCTACCTGTTTTTGTATGTATGTATGTATGTATCTAGTTTCCAATTTTCCTATGTATCTATGCATCTATGTATGGATGTATGTACATATCTAGCTATGCATCTATCTATCTATCTATCTATCTATCTATCTATCTATCTATGTGTTGATGTATCAGTCTATGTATGCACGTATATATGTATGTATCTAGTTTCCTATCTATCAATCCACCTATGCATCTATGTATGTATGTATGTATGCAGCTATGAATGCATGCATGCAGCTATGCATGTATGTAGCTATGCATCTATCTAGTTTCTTATCTATATATCCATCTATGTATGTATGTATGAATGCAGCCATGCATGTATGTATGTAGCTATGAATGTATATATATATATAGCTATCTATCTAGTTTCCTATCTACTTAAGCGATCCCTCATTTTCCGAGGATGATTGTCTTCCAGTGTTCTGGTGGGTCCGTAGGTGACTGTGGAGCCCTATTCTTGCTCTGCATCTTCTTCTGCAGTGAGGGCATTGATTTCCAGGTGGAAGGCGGTCCCGGTTGGGGTTGGCTTGACACGCCTTCCTCTTGGCATGCTTCTCCCTTTCGCCCTCCATTCGTGCCTCTTCAAATTCTGCAGCACTGCTGGTCACAGCTGACCTCCAGCTGGAGCGCTCAAGGGCCAGGACTTCCCAGTTCTCGGTGTCTATGCCAGAGTTTTTAAGGTTGGCTTTGAGCCCATCTTTCAATCTCTTCTCCTGCTCACTAACATTCCGTTTTCCATTCTTGAGTTCGGAAAAGAGCAACTGCTTTGGGAGATGGTGGTCGGGCATCCAAACAACATGGCCGGTCCAGCGGAGTTGGTGGCGTAGGGGCATCACTTCAATGCTGGTGGTCTCTGCTTCTTCCAGCACACTGACGTTTGTCTGCCTGTCTTCCCAAGAGATTTGCAGGATTTTCCGGAGGCAGCGCTGATGGAATCGTCCCAGGAGTTGCATGTGACGTCTGTAGACAGTCCACGTCTCACAGGCATAGAGCAGGGTTGGGAGGACAATGGCTTTATGAACCAGCACCTTGGTATCCCTACAGATGTCCTGGTCCTCAAACACTCTCTGCTTCATTCGGAAAAATGCTGCACTCGCAGAGCTCAGGCAGAGTTGTATTTCAGTGTGAATGTTGACTTTGGTGGAGAGGTGGCTGCCAAGGGAGCGGAAATGATCAACATTTTCTAATGTGACACCATTGAGCTGTATCGCTGGCATTGGAGAGGGGATGGCTGGTGTCTGCCGGAACAGCACCTTGGTTTTTTCAATGTTTCCTATCTATCCATCCATCTATGTATGTATGTAGCTATGCATCTATGTATGTATCTATGCCTGTATGTATGTATCTATCGAGTTTCCTATCTATCTATCCATTTATGTATGTATGCAGCTATGCATCTATGTATGTATGTATCTAGTTTCCTATCTATTGATCCATCCATCTATGCATCTATGTATGTATGCATGTATCTACCTATCTTCCTTCCTTCCTTCCTTCCTACCTACCTACCCACCTACCTACCTACCTACGTGTCTGTGTATCTATCTCTGCCTCTGCCTCCCTGCAGGACCAAAGAGAGCAAGACCCCCCCCCTGCTGACCCCCTCGCTCACTCACCTGCTCCTGGGCGCCCCTCCCTTGGCTCTGGTTGGTGCACCCGGCTGTCCCTCCTTGGGTGGGGGTCCCATTCCGGCCCCCCTCCCCTCCCCCGAGGCTGTGCCAGAGGAACTGGGTGGCCAGGGGCTCCTGCAGGCCCAGGGCGAAGGTGCACAGGAGCAGCACCGGCTCCGACCCACAGCGTAGACCCCTCCCAGAGCCCCCCGCACCCTCCGCAGCCGGGACCCCCTCTTCCTCGCTTGGACCAGGCGCCTCCATGGCTGCAAGAATGGAAGCAGGCAGGTGGGGCGTGGTCAAAGCAAGCCACGCCCCCACAATGCCTACCAGACAGCAGGGGAGGAGCCAGGAGGAGTTCCCCACCCCTGCCATTCCCGCCACCCAGCCGCCAGGGGGCGGGCCAGGCACTCCCCCGCAGTTACGAACGGGATCCGCTCTTCAAGCTGAATCCCGGTGTAAGTCGGGACAGGGACGATTTGGACAGCCCCTCTCTCAAAATAAAAGGGGGGGGGGGCTGGACTAAATGGCCTATAGCGTCCCTCTCTTCCAACTCCAGGATTCTATTTAGCTGTGAGTTTTCTGCACTGTATGGCCATGTTCCAGCAGCATTCTCTCCTGACGTTTCGCCCACATCCAGGGCAGGCATCCTCAGAGGTTGTGAGGTTTGCTGGAAACTAGGAAAATGGGGTTTATACAGCTGTGGGCTGTCCAGGGTGGGAGAAAGAACATCTTGTCTCCTGGAGTTGGCCAGCATTGAATGGCCTTGCAGCTTCAAAGCCTGGCTGCTTCCTGCCTTGGGGAATCCATATGAGGCTGGCACTTGGCACCTGTGAATTTAGGGCAGTTCTATATGTATGGAATAATGTCCAGGGTGGGAGGAAGAACTCTTGTCTAAACGCTAATCAATGGTGAGCTTGATAAGCATTGGATAGCCTTGCAGCTTCAAAGCCTGGCTGCGTCCAGCCTGGGGGAAATCCTTTGTTGGGAGGTCTTAGCTGGCCTGGGAGAGATGGACAGCTAATCACCTCCAAACAAAGGATTCCCCCAGGCTGGAAGCAGCCAGGCTTTGAAGCTGCAAAGCTTTGCAATGCTAATCAAGGTGATTAATGTTCCAGAAGCATTCTCTCCTGATGTTTTGCCTGCATCTACGGCAGGCATCCTCCGAGGTTGTGAGATCTGTTGGAAACTAGGAAAATTGGGTCTATATTATTATTATTATTATTATTATTATTATTATTATTATTAATAAATTTATTTATTAATAATACATAAAATAATAAATATTTATTAATAATAAATAAAATTATTTATTAATAAATAATAATAATAATAAAGACTCAATTTTCCTTATATTTTATTATTTTGATATTTATGATTTCTAATAATAATAATTATTAGAAATAATAAATATCAAAATAATAAAATATAAATAATAAATTATATAAATAATAATAATAAATAAATAAAAATAATAAATATCAAAGTAATATTTTGATACAAAATAAATTTATTTATTTATTTATTTACTATTCTTGTATACCGCTGTATCTCAAGCCCGAGGGCGACTCACAGTGGTTTCCAGACAGCAAAAAACAAAGCCAATAAAAAACAGCAATAATTAATATACCATAACAGTTAAATTACACATCTCCATTACTAACTAATACAAACATCAATACACAGTTCTCCCAAAAACCCCCCCCGATCGCCTCATCATCCAAGCGTGATCCAAATTCGATGTCCGTTGTTCCGTTCCTATGTTCAAATTACCAGAATTGCACTGAATTACTCAAATGCCTGCACAAACATCCAGGTCTTCAACTTTCTACGGAGTACCATTAGAGATGGTGCTAGTCTAAAAGGAAGGGCGTTCCACAGCCGAGGAGCCACCACCGAGAAGGCCCTATCTCTCGTCCCCGCCACCCGTGCTTGGGAGGCTGGCGGGATCGAGAGCAGGGCCTCCCCGGAAGATCTCAAAGTCCGGTGGGTTCATAGGCCGAGATGCGGTCAGATAGGTATCTTGGGCCGGAACCGTTTAGGGCTTTTTAAAAAATTATTATTATTATCATGTCTATTTGGGGAATGTGGGATTTGTAGTCACGCACCCCATACACAACAGAGGCAGCCCTAGGTAATTTTCAATGGTAAGCAAACAGTATTTTGGCGCCCCCCCCCCCCCCCAACCAATCATTGATATATATTTTCTGTTCGTCGTAGGAGTTCTGTGTGCCATATTTGGTTCAATTCCATCATTGGTGGAGTTCAGAATGCTCTTTGATTGTAGGTGAACTATACATCCCAGTAACTACACTTGCCGCACTTGCTCCCTTGCCTGGCCCGCTTTGGGTCCGGAGGCGTGCCTGAAGACCCCGGCGTGTGCACCAAAAGTCACCTCTTCTCCTGACTTTCTCCTCAGCCATTGGGACCAAGAGAGAGAGAGAGGTGGAGATGCCCACCTTTCCTGAAGGTAGGCGCAAAAACAAAGGAGGGAGCGGAGGTGGGAGATACCTCCAGCTGGAGGGGCTCTCTCTCTCTCTCTCTCTCTCTCTTGGTCCCAATGGCTGAAGAGAAAGTCAGAAGAGGTGACTTTTGATGCACACGCTGGGGTCTTCAGACACACCTCCAGACCCGAAGCGGGCCAGGCGCGGCGGCTCTGCCCCTTGGCCCACCCGCGGATTGGGGAGAGGAGAGGAGGCGGCTGGAGCGCCGGGGGATTGGGAAAGGGAGCTGGTCATGGGGAAGGGATCGAACGCGGAGAACGATTGAGCGCCGGCTCTGCTCGCGCACCGGTGGCCGGATGGAGCAGGAATGAGAGGGGCTAGGCGAGGCTCAAGGGCCCGGCCCCTTTGGGAAGAGGATCGCCCGGCAGCGAGGCAAGAAAGCTGAGGCTCCCCCCGGACTGCTAGGGCTGTTGTGAGCTGAGGGGGCGCTCCTCAAGTGGCAGTCAAGGGGCATTTACAGAGGCGCCTCTGCGCCCCTGGCAAAAAAAAGTGTTCTGCGACCGCTTACTTCGCGTAATGCACGAGCCGCCTCTGTACACAAGGGCCTCCTTTCTATGGTTTGCAGCATTGGGAGTCCAAAGGGAGCCCAGCCAGTTCTGTTGTATTCCTTTGGGGGATGATGGGAGTGGCAGTCCAAGCTAAATAGGGAATGATGGGCCTTACAGTCCCCCAAAGGCAATTCCATATGTACTCCGCAGCCCAAGCCGGGCCCATTCTATGTTATTTTGGGGGGTTCCAATTGGGAGAGCTTCTGCTGGATGCGGGACTGCCACTCCCATCATCCCCACTGACCACCCTAGCTGGGACTAGATGACCTCTGGGTTCCCTTTCCCACCATCCTTCCCTGGAAATGCTCTTCCCTTTATCTCCCGCCTGCTGCTCTTTGTCTCCCAACCCAGCTCGTGCCAGATTTAAAAAAAACAAGATCTGTTTTCCCAAGGCTTGAGCAATGATTGATGAGGCCTTGCCTTGACTCTGGAAGGGAAAACCAACACTCCAAGGCCCATCGCTCTTTCCTTCCTTGTTTTCCAAGGAGCTGCAGAATCACCAAAGGGGCTTCCGCCAAAAGGAGGGCATTTTCTCCAACCTGAGGCCCTGCTATGAAGATACATTTGGATAGATAAGAGAGTGTGTGTGTGTGTTGATAAGGGGGATTTATAGTTTGCTAAGTACCAAACGGTGAAATTGGAAAGCAAGGAGTGTAATTCGGCACCAAAATGCCCTCCTTTGCAGGGCCATTGGGAAGAATAAGCCATATGGTCATATGAGCATAAACAGAAGTGAGTTGCTGGGGATTTATAGTTTGCTAAGTACCAAACTATTCAACTGGGGATTTAATTCGGCATTATAATGCCCTACTTTACAGGGTTGTTGTGAAGAATAAGCCAGATACTGATATGAGGATAAACAGAAGAGAGTTGGTGGGGATTTATAGTTCGCTAAGTACCAAACTATTCAACTGGGGATTTAATTCAGCATTATAATGCCCTACTTTTCAGGGTTGTTGTGAAGAATAAACCAGATGCTGATATGAGGATAAACAGAAGAGAGTTGGTGGTGATCTATAGTTTGCTAGGTACCAAACTATTCAACTGGTGATTTAATTCAGCATTATAATGCCCTATTTGGCAGGGTTGTTGTGAAGAATAAGCCAGGTGCTGATATGAGGATAAACAGGAGAAAGTTGATGGGGATTTATAGTTTGCCAAGTACTGGACCATGAAATAGGAAAACCAGGAATGTATTTCAGCACCCAAACACCCTCCTTTGCAGGACCATGGGGAAAAATAAGCCATATAGTCATATGAGAATAAACAGAAGTGAGTTGGTGGGGATTTATAGTTCGCCAAGTACCGAAGGATTAAATAAGAAAAACAGGAACATAATTCGGCACCAAAATGCCTTCCTTTGCAGGACCATTGGGAAGAATAAGCCATATAGTCATATGAGGATAAACAGAACAGAGTTGGTGGGGATTTATAGTTCACTAAGTCCCGAACTATTGGGATTTAATTCGGCATTGCAATGACCTATCTGACCAGGTCATCATGAAGATAAAAACAAGGGGAGAATGCTAAGATAAACAGAAGAGAGTTGGTAGGAATTTATAGTTTGCTAAGTCCAGAACGATTAAATAGGGAAACCAGGAAGGCCAGCAATTGAATTCAGCACCAGAATGTCCCATCTCGCAGGGTCATTGAGATGATTAAATTGAATAAGCATACAGGGAGAAATAGGAGGGAAAGATAGTTAGGATTTATAGTTCACTAAGTACCAAACCATTAAATAGGAAATCTGGGGAGGTTGGTAATTTAATTGGGCACCAAAGTATCCTACCTTGCAGGGTCGTTCTTAACATCAAATAGGGTAAATACATATATCTAATGGTTGAGGCAAGGCCCAGAAAACTATAATTCGAATTTACTAACTCCATGTAAATGGACAAAGGACCAATGACCTGATCCTGATGACTTCAGGACTGTTCTGGTTTCCTCTTCCTGCCAAACGGGTCAAAGGGGCCCGAATCGGCACCCAATCTAGATTAATTATTGCTTTTTTAAATGACTTTATGGACTTGTTATGCAAAAGTGGCTGGTTCTGCATAATCTTACCATAAGGCCGATAACACTCTGTAACACGATGTTTGTTCCTGGGTTATCAGTGTCATTTCCCAATTGGTCCTAGCATAAAAAAACATGGGGAAAGTTAATTAAACTGCCCAATTTGGCATCCTAACGCCCTACTTTGCAGGGTCGTTGTGAAGCATATGCCAGATTACAATATGATTACAATTGTGATCAATCTATGGATCGATAGGTAGGTCGACAGATAGATATAATAGATCAATGTAGATATGGATTCCGATCAGAGTGCAAACGCTATATCTATGGATAAATAGATAGGTAGACAGATATAAAAAGATGGATATGGAACAATATATAGGGAGATATATAGTAGTAATGTTGATGTTTTTGATAAGATGTTTTTCTGATAATGATGAATTGTGGATTATTTTGCACTATGTTTTGTAATTTGCACTTGTTTTTTCATGTTGTACACCGGAATGAGTCGCCCTTAAAGGGCTGAGAATTGCGGTATATAAGCGCAGTAAATAAATAAATAGATATAGATAGATTTTTACAATTGTGATCTATCTATGGATCGATAGATAGGTAGACACATAGATACAGATAGACAGATAGATAAATATGGAATGATAGATAGGTAGATAGATATAGATTACAATATGTTTACAATTGTAATCTATCTATGGATCAACAGATAGGTACTGATAGAGATAGATAGATAGATAGATAGATAGATAGATAGATAGATAGATAGATATGGATTGATTGATTGATCGATCGATAGGTAGATAGATATAGATAGATTACAATAGGTTCCTGATTGGAGTGCAAACCCTGTATCTATGGATAGATCAATAGGTAGGTAGATAGACATAGGTAGAGTGCAATAGGTTCCTGATCAGAGTGCAAACCCTATATCTATGGATCAATCAATAGGTAGGTAGATAGATATAGATAGATGACAATAGGTTCCTGATCGGAGATAGACAGATATATAAATATGGATCAATAGATAGGTAGATAAATAGAGATCAATAGATAGATAGATAGATAGATAGATACATACATACATACATACATACATACATACATATGGACCAATAGATAGGTAGATAAATATGGATCAATAGATAGATAGATAGATAGATAGATAGATAGATAGATATGGATCAATAGATAGGTAGATAAATATGGATCAACAGATAGGTAAACAAATATGGATCAATAGATAGATAAATATGAATTGATCCATATTTGTCTACACCAATCTATTGATCCATATTTATCTACACCTATCTATTGATCCATATTATCTATCAATTTTTATCCATATTTATCTACCTATCTATTGATCCATATCTATCTATTGATCCATATTTATCTCTCTATCTATTGATCCATATTTATCTATCTATTGATCCATATTTATCTACACCTATCTATTGATCCATATCTATCTATCTATCTATCTATTGATCCATATTTATCTATCTATTGATCCATATTTATCTACGCCTATCTATTGATCCATATTTATCTATCTATTGATCCATATTTACCTATCAATTATCCATATTTATCTGCCTATCTATTGATTCATATCTATCTATCTATTGGTCCATATTTATCTATCTATCTATTGATCCATATTTATCTACACCGATCTATTGATCCATATTTATCTACACCGATCTATTGATCCATATTTATGGATCCATAAATAGGTAGAGATATATATCAATCGATGACAATATTACAATATGTTCCTGATCGGGGTTGCAACCCCTAATCTTGCGCTGAACTTGATATGTGGCAAGATCTTTATTTAGAGGACGGTGATGTTTATCTTTTGAGAAAGAGAGCTTCCAAGGAAGCCTTGTCCAGCATTCCTGTTGGACCAGGAGAACCGGATCTTGATTCAATGGGACCCGTCATTAGTGGCCCCAGCGGGTGCCAGCAATGCCCCGGTGCCTCTTTCCTTCTCCTCCTCCTCCTTTGTCTTGGCACCTCCCCAGTGCCAAGGTCCACCCTGGGAGCTCCTCCACTCAGTATATAGCCCTACTGTGGCACCGAGGCTGGCTCTTTGGCTGGTGGCTGCTCTCCATCATGTGGAGGGACTTTCTGGCCAACCGGCATTACTTCATTGCGGTCCTCATCCCCTTGGTCTTCCTGCCCCTGCCCTTGGTCCTGCCTTACAAGGTACGTCCGAGTCGATAGCCTGCAAAGCCCTAATCGTGCTTTTGGAGACACTGCAGATCCCAGTAAGGTGGCCTTCTGCAGCTGGCAGATGGTAATTTTGTCAGCGCCGATTGTGTTTAAGTGCAGGCCAAGGTCTTGAGGCACTGCACCCAGTGTGCCGATCACCACTGGGACCCCCTTGACTGGCTTGTGCAGGGTCTTTGCAGTTCGATCTCTGTGGTTGTTGTTGTTGTTGTTGTTGTATACTTGGGGGATGATGGGAGTTGTAGTCACACACACACACACACACACACACAAGGGCTTCCTTTCTACACCTTGCAGCATTGGGAGTCGAAAGGGAGCCCAGCCAGTTCTGTGGTGTTCCTTTAGTTAGGCAATCCCTCATAGCCTGAGGACAATGGTCCTCCAAATTCAGCATCTTAGTGGTGGGTACGTAGGTGGCTGTGGAGCCTTACCCTTGATCCACATGTTGTCCCACAGGGAGGACATTGGCTTCCACGTGGAAGAGGGTCCTGGTCAGGGTTGGTTTGACGCACCTTCTTCTTCTTGGCACGTTTCTCTTTCGCCCTCAATTCATGCCTCTTTGAATTCCACAGCACTGCTGGTCACAGCTGACCTCCACTTAGAGCCCTCAAGAGCCAGGGCTTTGGGAGATGGTGATCGGACATTCAGAGAACATGGCCAGTCCAGTGGAGTTGATGGCGTGGGAGCACCAATTCAATGCTGGTGGTCTTTGCTTCTTCTTCCAGCACATTTGTCTGCCTGTCATCCCAAGAGATTTGCAGGATTTTTCGGAAGCAACACTGATGGAATAGTTCCAGGAGTTGGGTGTGACGTCTGTAGACAGTCCACGTTTTGCAGGCATATAGCAGGGTTTGGATTCACTGCTGGTAGTCTTTGCTTCTTCCAGCACACTGACATTTGTCCGCCTGTCTTCCCAAGAGATTTGCAGGATTTTTCGGAGGCAACGCTGATGGAATCATTCCAGGAGTTGGGTGTGACGTCTCTAGACAGTCCACGTTTTGCAGGCATATAGCAAGGGTTTGGATTCACTGCTGGTGGTCTTTGCTTCTTCCAGCACACTGACATTTGTCCGCCTGTCTTCCCAAGAGATTTGCAGGATTTTTTGGAGGCAGCGCTGATGGAATAGTTCCAGGAGTTGGGTGTGATGTCTGTAGACAGTCCATGTTTTGCAGGCATATAGCAGAGTTTGGATTCAATGCTGGTGGTCTTTGCTTCTTCCAGCACACTGACATTTGGGTGTGACGTCTGTAGACAGTCCACGTTTCACAAGCATATAGCAGGGTTGGGAAGACAACAGATTTAGAAACAAGCACCTTTGTCTCCCTGTGGATGTCCTGATCCTCAAACACTCTGTGCTTCATTCCAAAAAATGCTGCCCTTGCAGAGCTTAGGTGGTGTTATATTTCAGTGTCAAGATTGACTTTTGTGGAGAGGTAAACAATTCACTTGGATAAGATCTCTTTAGATTGGCATTAGGCCACAGTGGGGATTTTTCTTGGGTTGGCAAGTAACTCCCTTCAATGGGATTTTAAGTTGGCATTGAAGTACAATGAGCTCTCCTTCAAATATAGTAGAGTCTCACTTATCCGACCTTCGCTTATCTGACATTCTGTCTGATCTGATGCCCCCTTTTCCTCCGGCATTTCCCCAACTCTCTTTCCATTCCCAATAAGGGAAAAGGGCAAGACGAGGAGGAGGAGGAGGAGGAAGGAAAGGGGGAAAAGAGGCAGGACCGGAAGCGGAAGTGTGCTCCCTCCTTTCTTCTGGGATTTCCACGCTTCTCTTCTGCATCCGGGTATTTCCTGCTGGATCCCTCTAGTCCCGGGGTGTTGCCTTGCCATAACTCTTTGAGTCCCTGTTGATAGATGGGTAACAGTAGGAGACTCAGTATTATCCGACATTTTCGTTTATCCGACGTTCTACCGGTCCGTTTATGTCAGATAAGCGAGACTCTTTATTTATTTATTTTACTATACTTGTGTACCGCCTTTCTCAGCCTATCGGTGTACTGACAACAAATCAGTATACATAATAGCAAAATACAGATTAAGCATTGAACAATATAAAATCACAATATAAAATCACAATAAAAAACCACCTGAGCTCTGCGAGTGCAGCATTCTCTTTTATGTGATCATTCCATTGGCATTGGGGTAGACCTTTTCCAAGCCATTCTCATCAATGGTTCTCCTTTGAGTTGGTACCCCTTTGCCAAGGAATCGTCTACGTTTGGGTTGCCCCTTGGCCAAATGGTTCTCGTTTGTGGCAAGTCGCACCTCTCCTAAACAATTCCTTATGGGATTTTTCTTTGGGCCGCAGCAGGGAAGAGCATTGCCAAACTTTGTGTTTCTTCATGCCATGACGAAATACGAACGATAGAGACGTGACATACCGTGTCCATCCATCTCCCTATAAAAACAACATCATTTTTAAACACGCGTCAGCAGAGGAGAGGATTTCTTAACCAAACGCCAACCTGTTCGGTGCTATGAAGCCAAACGGCAGCCGGCTTCTGTCCTGGCTTGGGATGCGGCGTTTCCTCCTTGGGCCCAAGCCAGAGCAGTGCTATGCATCGCCGCCAATGAGCCTCCGAAACCCACCGGGATGATGAATCCCAAGGACAACAACACCCAGCATCGCCTCTCATCCCTTCTTCTCGCTTCCAACCTGGACAAACGCATTCTGCTCTTTGCAGAAGGCTGGACTAGATGACCTCTATGGGGGACCTATACCGAAGCTACAGTTCTGCCATGCTTCATCTTTGTTTCCTTTCTCCTCTTTCTCTGCACCGACACAACAGCCCTGCAGAGTCGGCCAGACAGGAGAAGAGTGACGGCTCCAAGCTCATTCCTAAATAATTATTTATTATTATTTCAGATATTTGTACCCCGCCCTTCTCAACCCCCTGGGGCAACAATTCAATGCCTCCAATGTATGCATTATATGTATAAAAAGGTAAAGGTAGTCCCCTGACATTAAGTCCAGTCGTGTCTGACTCTGGGGTGTGGTGCTTATCTCCATTTCTAAGCCGAAGAGCCAGTGTTGTCCGTAGACACCTCCAAGGTCATGTGGCCAGCATGACTGCATGGAGCGCCGTTACCTTCCCGCCGGAGCTGTACCTATTGATCTCCTCACATTTGCATGTTTTCAAACTGCTAGGTTGGCAGAAGCTAGGGCTGACAGCGGAAGCTCACGCCGCTCCCCGGAATCGAACCTGCGACCTTTCGATCAACAAGCTCAGCAGCTCAGTGCTTTAACCCACTGCACCACCGGGGGCTCCTATTATATGTATACATTATACAATAATGGGGACTAGAACCCAAATCTGTCGCTTGCCCCAAGTCGCAGCGCCCCGTCTTTGCTTCAGATGCATTCCAAGAAGCTCAACGATTGACAGCGGCCTGTGACAGGCGCCTGCCAATCATTAACCCCAGTACCTTGGCCTTGAAGGTGGCAAAAGTTACACTTTAAGGATGGGATTGGCTTCCGCGCCTGGGAAAGCCGGTTCGGATTCGTGACTAATGTGGGATTTGCATCCCTGGTGCTAGAAATGATTCCCAAGGGTTGGTTTATGCCATTTGGTTGCTTTCCGGGAGCCCTTTTGCCCTCGTCAACCCCTTAGATCAGGTATGAGCAAACCCGGATACGACCCCGTGGGCTCTATTCTCAGGCCCTCCTCTCTCTCACCGTCCTGTCCTTCCTTCCTTCTCTCTTTCCTTCCTTCCTCCTTCATTCCAAAGTCCCTTCTCCATGCATCACAACATGCCTACAAGTTGAAAAACAAGGGCCTCCTTAGAGAAGCTCTGAGACCTCATCCCCACAACCACGCTATTCAGCTGATAGAACCTGCCTCACATCTGAAAGGTTTGGAAAGCAACAACCACAATGTCAGCAAAGGAATAAAATACCTGCCCAAGCATTAGTTAGAACAGGAGGGTGCCTCCCTTTGAGGTCTTTTTCACCTAGCTGAGACTAGTCCTGGCAGTGGGTCATGTAGGAAGGTTGCATGACTCTTATTATTATTATATATTATTATTATTATATTATTATTATTATATTATTATGGCGGAAACAGAAGAACGGCCTGCTTCAGGGGAGCGTGCTTGCTCCATCCATGTTCAACATCTACACAAATGACCAGCCACTGCCAGAAGGGACAGAGAGTTTCATCTATGCTGATGATCGTGCCATTACTGCTCAAGCAGGGAGCTTTGAGATGGTAGAACAGAAGCTCTCCGAAGCTCTAGGTGCTCTTACTGCCTATTACAGGGAAAACCAGCTGATCCCTAATCCATCTAAAACACAGACATGTGCCTTTCATCTCAAGAACAGACAAGCATCCCGAGCTCTGAGGATCACATGGGAAGGAATCCCACTGGAGCATTGCAGCGCACCCAAATACCTGGGAGTCACTCTGGACCGTGCTCTGACCTACAAGAAGCACTGCCTGAACATCAAGCAAAAAGTGGGTGCTAGAAACAATATCATACGAAAGCTGACTGGCACAACCTGGGGATCACAACCAGACACAGTGAAGACATCTGCCCTTGCGCTGTGCTAATCTGCTGCTGAGTATGCATGCCCAGTGTGGAACACATCTCACCACACTAAAACAGTGGATGTGGCTCTTAATGAGACATGCCGCATTATCACGGGGTGTCTGTGCCCTACACCGCTGGAGAAATTACACTGTTTAGCCGGTATTGCACCACCTGACATGCGCCGGGAAGTAGCAGCCATAGTGAAAGGACCAAGGCAGGGACATCTCCAGCTCATCCCTTGTTTGGGTATCAGCCAGCACATCGACAACTTAAATCAAGAAATAGTTTTCTAAGATCTACAGAGACACTCGCTGGAACACCTCAGCAAGCGAGAGTCCAAAAGTGGCAGGCTCAAACCCAGAACCTCAACCAATGGCTGATACCCAATGAGAGACTCCCCCCTGGGCACACAGAAGACTGGGCGACTTGGAAGGCGCTGAACAGACTGCGCTCTGGCACCACGAGATGCAGAGCCAACCTTCAGAAATGGGGCCACAAAGTGGAATCCTCGACATGTGAGTGTGGAGAAGAGCAAACCACTGACCACCTGCTGCAATGCAACCTGAGCCCTGCTACATGCACAAGGGAGGACCTTCTTGCAGCAACACCAGAAGCACTCCAAGTGGCCAGATACTGGTCAAAGGACATTTAACCAACTACCAAGCTTGCAAACTCTGTGTCTTTTGTATGTTTGTTTGTTTGTTCTGTCAAAAATGCAATACAACTCTTCGGTTGCCTGACACGATAAATAAATAAATAAATAAATGGGTATATTAAATCAGGAAACTAATGAAATGCCATCTTAGCCATTAGTCCCTCCAATGGCAGGAGGGGGTTGGTCTAGATGACCCTCAGGGACCCCTTTTGGTCCGCTGATCCCTACTAAAATTCCAAACAATGGGTCTGTTTGTCGCTTTCTTCCCCTCAGGAGGCAGGATGCGGCTACATCATCTGCCTCATGGCTCTCTTATGGTGCACCGAGGCTTTGCCGCTGGCAGTCACGGCTCTGCTGCCAGTCCTGCTCTTCCCAATGATGGGCATCATGGACTCCACTTCGGTAAGGAGGGCACAAGAGGGGAATTACAGTTCACCATCCAAAGGCTGTCTTTCCCGGTTCAACCAACTTTCTCTGCTTCCGCCAGGTGTGCAAGGAGTACTTGAAGGACACCAACATGCTCTTCCTGGGCGGCCTGTTGGTGGCCATTGCGGTGGAGCACTGCAACCTCCATAAGCGCATCGCTTTGCGGGTCCTCTTGATCGTGGGAGTCAGGCCTGCCTTGTGAGTAAGACCGAAAAAATTGGGGATATTTTGAATGTTTAGGTTCAATTAATCTGTAATACCATTTCTGGCCACTAGGTGTCAGGCTTTCCCAGGGAAAAAAGTGAAACTGAAAGTAAACAAAAAGAAAGTATAAATCGCCCGCAATACCACCTTTTGCCACTAAGTGTCAGTCTTCCCTACAGAAAGGATACAAAGTATAAATGGCTTGCAATACCACCTTTTGCCACTAAGTGTCAGTCTTCCCTACAGAAAGGATACAAAATAATATAAATGGCCTGCAATACCATCTTTTGTCACTAAGTGTCAGACTTCTCTACAGAAAAGATACAAAATAATATAAATGGCCTGCAATACAAACTTTTGTCACTAAGTGTCAGTCTTCCCTACAGAAAAAATACAAAATAATATAAATGGCCTGCAAAACCAACTTTTGCCGCTAAGTGTCCATCTTCCCTACAGAAAGGATACAAAGAGAAAGTATACATGGCCTGCAATACCACCTTTTGCCACTAAGTGGTAGTCTTCCCTACAGAAAGGATACAAAGTATAAATATATAATAATTATATATTTATATTACATGTAATATTACTAATAATATTAAAATATAATGGTATAGTACAATATAGTAATATTTAATACTGATATTGTACTATGCTAATAATATAATATATTGTATGTATATATATATATCTTGTAAGCAGCTCTGAGTCCCCTTCGGGGTGAGAAGAGCGGCATATAAATGTCGTTAAAAAAATGGCCTGCAATACCACCTTGTGCCACTGTCAGTCTTCCCCGCAGAAAGGATACAAAGTGAAAGTATAAATGGTCCGCAATACCACCTTTTGCCACTAAGTGTCAGTCTTCCCTGAAGAAAGGATACAAAGCGAACGTATAAATGGCCTGCAATACTACTCCGAGCAAGAAAGTGAAACTGAAAATAAAATATTAATACCATACCAAAAACCATCACTGGATCCCACTCAATTCGTCAACTATCGGCCTGTTTCCAATCTTCCCTTTTTGAGCAAAGTCCTGGAACGTGTGGTGGCCTCACAACTCCAGGTATTCTTGGTAGACACTGATTATCTAGATCCGGCACAGTCTGGCTTCAGGCCGGGACATGGTACCGAGACAGCCTTGGTCGCCTTAGTGGATGATCTGCGCAGGGAGCTAGACAGGGGGAGTGTGTCCCTGTTAGTTCTGCTGGACCTCTCAGCGGCCTTCGATACCGTCGACCACGGTATCCTTCTGAGACGCCTCGCGGGAATGGGCCTTGGTGGCACTGTTCTGCAGTGGCTCAGGTCCTTCCTAGAGGATCGTACTCAGAAGGTGTTGCTGGGGGACAACTGCTCTACCCCACAACCATTGTCTTGTGGGGTCCGCAGGGCTCAATATTGTCCCCCATGTTATTTAACATCTACATGAAGCCGTTGGGAGAGATCATCCGGAGTTTCGGGGTACGGTGTTATCTGTACGCAGATGACGTCCAACTCTGTCACTCCTTCCCACCTACTACTAAGGAGGCTGTTCAGGTCCTGAACCGTTGCTTGGCCGCTGTATCGGACTGGATGAGGGTGAACAAATTGAAACTGAATCCAGATAAGACAGAGGTACTCCTGGTCAGTCGAAAGGCCGAACAGGGTATAGGGTTACAGCCTGTGTTAGACGGGGTTACACTCCCCCTGAAGACACAGGTTTGATATCGAGCTCTTTTGGGGGGTCTCTCCAGGGAGGAGAGCCCAAGGACTGCACCAAAGAGAGTCCTGGATACCTTGGTGAGCTTTCTGGAAGCCAATCCAAGAGCGCAGAAATATTTAAAAGAATTAATAAGCTCATCAGAGGCGGAAGAAGTCCAGCGATCGAGGTTTATTTGCGATTCAGCTGAAAAGGATGCATTACAGGAATCATTCCACTGTAAGCATGCATTACAAGGATTTTCAGGCATTTTTATACTGTTAGAACAAAGGAAAGCAGTTTGAAAATCCCGCCCGCCCCCTGTCAGCCGGCTTCACGCTGATTGGCTGAGGCTGGAACAGCTGGGAGGAGGTTTGACAGCCCGCCTCCGCCAGGAGCCAATGGGAGCGTTTCCTCGCCTCGGGAGGGCCAATGGGCGCCCTCCGCTCGCTTCCTGGGTTCTGGCCAATCAGGAGCGAGGAGGCGGGATGGCCAAGGAACAAAGGGGAAAGATGATGGGATTTGGGCTTTCCTGCCCGCTGGAATGCGGGCTATTGTCCAAAGGGGAAGAGGGTGATATGGATAAACAAAGAGCTTTCCTGCTCGTGATGGGTCTGGCGAGTGATTTGAATAGCTGGATCGATACCGGACCGCCCGGGGGATCAACAGTATCTGGGTGATTTAATCAGTCCTTTATTTCCGGGGCTCTGTTGACCCTTCCTCTTTCGTTGGCCTTGCTACAATGACGAAATTGGGGGGGGGCCAGCAGCATTGTCCATGCAAAATGAGTCAATCAATGGGTGATTTGGGGGAAAGAGGCTTGGGCTCTTCCCTCAGGCAGTTCCTGGTCACGCCGGTTTTTGGGGTAAGGGTCAAGGGGTGAAGATACAGGGGAGTTCATAAGGGTTATATATCATATTCATAAACCACAGGCATCACCAATATACAGGCATTTCATATATCACAACCCACCACCCATCCCAACCCCAGTCCATTGCAATAAGAAAATATTTTATTTATTTCATAAAAAGGAAAAGGAAAAAAACTAGAAGTCCCAAAGTCTGGACGGAGGGGTTTGGATGCAGGGGCCAGCCCATGGTTCAGACTGGCCATCAGAAGATCAGTTCATTTTATGAAACAGGAGCTGGAGCTGAAGGGGGAGCTATGTTCCACTGTCCCGTCCTTGGTGGAACTAGCGCTCCCAACCGGGGATCGGGCCTCCCTGCCCGATCCCCCACTTCCAAGGCTTCCCCTTGGGCAATCGGCGGTGGATCCCAGGCGGCTGGAGCCATGCTGGAGCGAGCGGCAGCGAGTGGAATGAAGCAAGCGGCAAAAGCCGGCGAAATTTTGACAATCAGCTGGTGACTCGGCCGAATTTAATGATTAAACAAAAACAATTATTTCACGAGTGCAGGAGTCCAAAATGAGAAAACCAAGATAGCAGTTAGTCTTAGAATTTAGTGTAGAAAAATATAAAATTTAAACGGGCCCGATCCGCCATGTTGTTGTTTTGGCGGATAAGGGGGGCCAATAGGAAAATCTCCGTATCCGCGATTTGAACTAACGCAAATTCGGAGGCCTGGGGAGGCCAGGAAGGCGTCCCCAGTGAGCTCACGGTTCCCCGGAGCTCAGAAAAAGGTTTATTGTGAGTTAGAAAAGTTGCAGTCAGTAAAAGGACACAAAGTATCAAGCGGAAAGGATTTAAAGTTTCAAAACTTAAGTGTTTTATTGAGGGATTTGTTACAAAGAGAGGGAGAGGGGAAAGTGAAAGAAAGGCTTCGTGCAGTCCTTTGCTTTGAGCTGCTGGCTGGGGCACATTTCATCAGTCGGACCCAACTTTGCTCTCCGGAACTGCGGAACTCCCTGCTGCGGTTCAAACCAACTTGAAGGCGGGAGATTCTGCTACTTGGGGGGTCATCAGGTTCGCAGCTTGGGTGTGATCCTGGACTCTTCGCTAAGCTTGGAACCCCAAGTTTCGGCAGTGTCCAGGGGAGCATTTGCACAATTAAAACTTGTGCGCCAGTTGCGCCCGTATCTTGGGAAGTCTGACTTGGCCACGGTAGTCCACGCTCTGGTTACATCCCGGATTGATTACTGCAACGCGCTCTACGTGGGGTTGCCCTTGAAGACTGCCCGGAAGCTTCAGATGGTCCAGCGCTCGGCAGCCAGGTTGCTAACAGGAGCGGCACTCAGGGAGCACACCACTCCTCTGTTGAGCCAGCTCCACTGGCTGCCAATTCGCTACCGAGCACAATTCAAGGTGCTGGCTTTAGCCTATAAAGCCCTAAATGGTTCTGGCCCCACTTACCTCTCCGAACGCATCTCCACCTATGAACCGACTAGGACATTAAGATCGTCTGGGGAGGCCCTGCTCTCGGTCCCGCCTGCGTCACAGGCGCGCTTGGCGGGGACGAGAGACAGGGCCTTCTCAGTGGTGGCCCCTCGGCTATGGAATGCCTTGCCGAAAGACATCAGACAGGCACCTTCGTTGCTGGCATTTCGGAGAAAGGTTAAGACCTGGCTTTATGAACAGGCGTTTGGTTGAACAGTGCAACCAATCAAGGAAGACGGTAAATGGAACATAGGAATGGCACAAGGATTATGAGAACGGATCTGATTTCACTGAGGCGTTATGTTGTGTGTGTTGATTGTCCTGTTCTGTTTTGTTAACTGTTGTGGATTGATGTTGTTGATCCTGTTTGTTGCACTTGTTGCGTTTTAATTGCACTGACACTGTTAATAATTTGTACCATGTAAACCGCATAGAGTCGCCTGTCTGGGCTGAAATACGCGGTATAGAAATAAAGCAAATAATAAATTAATAATAATTAATAATAATAATAATCTGCAGTACCACTATTCTCTATGGAAAGATGATGAAGTAGATTGCAGTATCTCTTCCAGTCACTGGCAAAGAAGACAATCTGAAAGTCAAAATAAGCTTGCAATACCATCTTGAGCCACTAAGTGTCAGCCTTCCCTATGGACAAAGTGAAAGTATAGATGGCCTGCAATACCACCTCAAGCCACTAAGTGTCAGTCTTCCCTACAGAATGGAGACAAAGTGAAAGTATAAATAGTGTGCAATAGTATTTCCAGCCATTACGTGTCAGGTCTTCGCTAACTAAGGCAGACAAAGTAGTAGCTCTGGGTTTGGTTCAGACAGGCTCAATTTTAGATGAGGCAAGGTGGTCCAATGGGTGGAGATGACCCCTCCAAACGTGGTTCTCTTTCCCCTGGACAGGCTCCTGATGGGCTTTATGGTCGTCACGGCTTTCCTCTCCATGTGGATCAGCAACACCGCCACCACCGCCATGATGATGCCCATTGCCCAGGCCGTGTTGAACCAGCTCCACAAAACCGAGCAAGAGACAACCGGACCCGAGACAACAGAGAAGGCAAACAGCAACATCAATCCAGCTTTTGAACTGCAGGAGCAAGGTAGAAAGCGCCAAGAGAGGAGAAAAACAGATTGTAATGCCACCTCCAGCCACTAAGAGCCTGGTTTTCCATAAGCAAGCGAGACAAAGTGAAAGGAAAGATAGCCTGCAATACCAGTTCCAGCCATTAGGTGTCAGCAAAGATATCAAAGTGAACAATATAATCATATATAGAAATAATAACATTGTAATAATACTAATATATCATATATAATATTAATAATATTGTAATATATTAAATACTACAACTTATGATATAGTACACTGTATAGTGGATAATATAATAATATATAGAAATAATAACAATGTAATAACAATAATAACAATGTAATGTTATAATATTAATATATTATGTATAATATTAATAATATTGTAATATAATATATTATATATGCAACAACTTATGATATAGTACAATCTATATAAATAAAAATGTAATGTTCTTTTGTGGGATTAACATAACACAAAAATCACTGGACGAATTGACACCAAATTTGGACACAATACACCTATTAGGACAATGAGTGACCATCACTCATAAAAACACTGGAAAACACAGCGGAAGGGACATTAAAGCAAAAAACCCACTACAACACATAAGCAAATACACACAAAACGATATAATATATTATAATATTGCAATATAGTAATACTAATATATTATATGTAAATACTACTGACAATATATAATCATATTATATACTGTTTTATTATTGTCTAGATGCATATTTTAAGTTCTTGTGTTTTTGATTGTGAGACGCTTTGAGGCTCCGAATGGAGAGATAAAGCAGGACGTAAATAAATACCAGCTTCAGCCACTAGGTGTCAGGTCTTTCCTTAACAGAAAAGACAAAGTGAAAGTATAAATAGCCTCACGTCCAAATATGGCTAGCAGGGAATGATGGGAGTTGTCATCCGAGCACAAAATTAAGAGGTTGATGATGGGAACTTATGCTGTCTGTATTTAAGACTACTAGGCATGTGCAAAACATTCGGAAGAGTCAGAAATCATCAGAAAATTGGAAGTTTTGTAATTCGGAATCTTTTATGATTCGCACATCTCTAAAGCTTCCATCTTCTTGCCCTTCCATCAGCAGTGAATGGACATGTAGTGACCTTGGAGAAGGTGAGATCGCCCGAAACGGACTATCAGAAGCTTGAGGAAAAGCACCGCAGCACCTGCAAAGGGATTAATCTGGCGGTCTGCTACTCAGCCAGCATTGGAGGCCTGGCCACCTTGACCGGGACCACCCCCAATTTGGTGCTGAAAGGGCAGGTGGATGAGTGAGTAGCCTCTTCCTCCATCCCAGTTGCCCTGGGGGTCATCCCTTTGGATCGCAAATCTCATCAGCCTCCTTTTTCCTTCCAGGCTCTTTCCGCACAACGACAACGTGGTCAACTTTGCCTCCTGGTTCGGATTCGCCTTCCCTACCATGGCCATCCTCCTGGTCCTCTCCTGGATATGGTTGACGGGGTTGTTCCTGGGCTTTGAGTAAGTCTAGAAGGGTGGACAATGGGCTTCACTGGCTCATCGCTGGTACTCTTCTGATCCCCCTCTTCCACCCCCTGTAGTTTCAGGAAGAATTTTGGCTGGAGGGCCAGTGAATCGGAACGGCACCGCTTGAAAGCAGCCTACGAGGTCATCCAGAAGGAGTACCAGACTTTGGGGGCTATGAAGTTCTCTGAAAGCATCGTTTTGGGCCTCTTCGTGGTCCTGGTCCTCCTCTGGTTTACCAGAGAACCTGGTTTCATGCCCGGTTGGGCTGGAGCCCTTTTCAACAAAGGCGGGAAGAGGTCAGAAAGGGGTCTGATTAAGTGGATGGGTTATTGGAGGTCATCTAGTCTAGCTGTGCCAATGGAGGAAGACTCAACCCAAAGCTTCATGGAGTCCTTCAAGTCGATGTTAATAGAGGTCTCTTAGAGGTCCTTCAAGTCAATATTATTTAGCATTTCCACTTCTACATGTTCCTGAACTCCAACTCCCAGCATCCTCAGTCACTGGCTTCCAGGCCAGTGAGAGGGATACTGGGATATGTAGTTCCATCCTTGGAATAGACTCCATTGACTAGATTCTAGGAGATGAAGCCTGAAACATTGCATTGAGGTCACTTTGAGTTCCCCCAAATCAATGCTGAATGATTCAGGGTTATCTCTTCTGAGTGTGACCAAACTCTGATTCCCAACATTCCCAGTCACTGGTTTCCAGGCCAGAGAGAGGGATACTGGGTAAGGAAGTCCAAAACATTGCAACATAGAGGTCACTTTGAGGTCCCTCAAGTCAATGCTAAGTGATTCAGGGTTATCTCTTCCAAATGTTACCAGATTCCAATTCTCAGCATCCTCAGTCACTGGTTTCTAGACCAGTGAGAGGAATACTGGGAAGTGTAGTTTCATCATTGGAACAGACTTGGTTGACTAGACTCTGGGAGATGAAGTCAAAAACATTGCAACATAGAGGTTTCTTTGGAGGCCTTCAAGTCAACGCTGAGTGATTCAGGGGTATCTCTTCAGAGTGTCACCAGACTCCGATTCCCAGCATCCCCAGTCACTGGTTTCTAGGCCAGTGAGAGGGATAGTGGGATATGTAGTTCCATCCTTGGAATACACTCAGTTGACTAGATTCTAGAAGATGAAGTCTGAAACATTGCATTGAGATCACTTTGAGGTCCCTCAAGTCAAAGCTAAGTGATTCAGGGTTATCTGTTCAGAGTGTTACCAGATTCCGATTCTCATCATTCTCAGTCACTGGTTTCTAGACCTGCGAGAGGAATACTGGGAGGTGGAGTTTCATTCTTGGAACAGACTTGGTTGACTAGATTCTGGGAGATGAAATCAAAAACACTGTAACATAGATGTTTCTTTGGAGGCCTTCAAGTCAATGCTGAGTGATTCAGGGCTCTCTCTTCAGAGTGTTACCAGACTCCGATTCCCAGCATCCCCAGTCACTGGTTTCTAGGCCAGTGAGAGGGATAGTGGGAGGTGTAGTTTCATCCTTTGAACAGACTCGGTTGACTAGATTCTGGGAGATGAAGTCCAAAACACTGCAACATAGAGGTCTCTTTTGGAGGCCTTCAAGTCAACACTGAGTGATTCAGGGCTATCTCTTCCACATGTGACCGGACTGCAATTCCAGCCATTGGTTTCCAGATCAGCTGGGGGGAGATGGGAGATGAAGTACCCTGCAGGAAGATACAACCTGACCATCTAGGCCATCTTATCTGACCCTTGGCCTTGAGGTCTTCTATGTGATGTCGTTTCAGATATTTACATCTCCATCTCTTCTTCGATTCTCCACAGTTATGTGACAGACGCCACTGTGGTCATCTTCATTGCACTGCTGATGTTTGTCATCCCTTCTGAGCTCCCTCGTTGTGGTGCCTCGAGAACGGAAGGTGAGGAGGAGGAAAGGTAAGGCAGATGAAGGTACAGTGGGGCCGTGGTCCTTGTCCTCATCTCACAAAGGGTCTTTGGGGATTTCAGGGAGCCCAAGGGCCATTCCAGCCCTTTTGGATTGGCCAACTGTCCACAAGAATATGCCCTGGAACATCATCATCCTTCTGGGAGGAGGCTTTGCTTTGGCCAAAGGCTGTGAGGTCAGTGCCTTGCTTGTGAGGAGTGAGATATATCTCTATCTCTATCTCTATTTCTGTCTCTATCTCTATCTCTATCTCTATCTCTATCTCTATCTCTATCTCTATCTCTATCTCTATCTTATAGCATTCCTATGATATCTGTTACATGTATTGCATTCCTACAATATCCCTTACATATATTGCATTCCTATGATATATACTATATATACTGCAATCTCATGACAAATGGTATATAGATTGCATTCTTATGATAAATATTATATAGAGTGCATTCCTATGATAAACATATTGTGTATATATAAATATTATATAGAGTGCATTCCTATGATATATTGTGTATATATATTATACTAGCTTGCATACCTAGCGTTGCCCGGTTTATTTGAAAAAGTTTTTTACAAAATGCATAAGGTTGTGGGTGAACTACAACTCCCGTCATGCCAGGTTAACCCCAAGAATTTCCATAAAGTTGGTAAGGTTGGGCAAGTTTGCTCTAGTCTAGATGCATCATTGGTGGGGTTCAGTGTACTCTCTGGCTTTAGGGTAAACTACAACTCCCACTAAGGCGAGTCAGTCCCTTCAAAACCCTCAAGTAGGTTGAGTCAGTCATGGGGTTCTGTGTGCCAAGTTTGGTCCAGGTCCATCATCAGTGGAGGTCATAGTTTCTCTGGTTGTGGGTGAACTACAACTCCCAGAAAGTAAGGTCAGTTCCCCCAAAAGCCCTCCAGTAATCAAATTTTGGCATATCAGGTCTGTGTGGTGTTTGGGTTCACAGTGCTCTCTGGATGTAATTGAACTACAACTCCCCTCAAGGTGAATTTCCCCCAAAGACCACTAGTATTTTTTGTTGGTCGTGAGAGTTCTGTGTGCCAAGTTTGGTCCAGTTCCACAACAACAACAACAACCTCCAGCTTTTGATTGAGACACAACATGGTGCATGTGCCACCTTTCCCAACCACGAGGGGGCAAACCAATGACACTGAATGGGAATATTCTACATGTCTTTGTATACGTTTGTATGTGTGTGAAGGACAAAAAATCAATTGCACTAAGTTGGAAAGAACACTACCAAAGCCTCCTGAATCACAGCTCCAATGTGGCCAAAGAGGTTCTCTCACAAATCCCACAACAAGCCAGGGATGAGCTTGCAGCACTGCCTAGTTTGTAAGAAGTCCGCAATTATTATTTTTTTGTCGTGTCAGGAGCAACCTCAGAAACTGCAAGTCGCTTCTGGTGTGAGAGAATTGGCTGTCTGCAAGTATGTTGCCCAGGGGACGCCCGGATGATTTGATGTTTTATCATCCTTGTGGGAGGCTTCTCTCATGTCCCCGCATGAGGAGCTGGAGCTGATAGAGGGAGCTCATCCGCCTCTCCCCAGATTTGAACCTGCGACCTGTTGGTCTTCAGTCCTGCCGGCACAGGGGTTTAACCCACTGCGCCACCGGGGGCTCCATGAAGTCAGCAATGTCATCAGCCAACAAAAAAAAACAAAGCCAGCAGACCTGATGGGATCCCTGCTGAAATCTTTAAAGAGGGAGGATCTGAGCTGTGTATGCTTTGGATAGCCTAGGGAAAGGTTAACATCCCAGGGATGGATTTCCCTTCTTTCCAGGGGTAGATTTCTCTGCCTTCCTGTTGTCTCACCTCTGTTCTTAAGTATGAATCGTTTGTAAGTTGCAACTGGGGGACGGTCTGCATTTTCTTGTCTATGTGTCCATGTCTCACTCCTTCCTGGCAGGTCTCTGGCCTCTCAGACTGGCTGGCGGGCCAACTCAGCCCAATGCAGAGCATCCCACACCCGGCCATTGTCTTCCTGATGTGCCTCCTGATCGCTGTCTTCACCGAGTGCACCAGCAACGTGGCCACCACCACCCTCTTCCTCCCCATCCTGGCTTCCATGGTGAGTCCGGGGACCCAACACACACAGACCACCAACCAGATGCTGTGTTGACGAGCCTGACCTTCCTTTGGCTGTCTTCCAGGCGCAGGCCATCTGTCTGAACCCGCTCTATGTGATGCTGCCTTGCACCTTGGCTGCCTCCTTGGCCTTCATGCTCCCGGTGGCCACCGCCCCCAACGCCATGGTCTTCGCCTATGGACAGGTCCGCGTCATCGACATGGTGAGCAGGCCCTTCCACATTGTGCCATTACAAGGCACCAATTGAGTTCAAGGCATTGGCTAAAAGGTACTGATTGAGTTCAGTGCACCCATTGAGTTCAATGCATCTCTTGAGTTCAATTTATTAAATGTACTCATTGAGCTCAAGGCATTAAGTGCACGCATTGAGTTCAATGCCAAAAGTGTCCTAATGGAGTCCAGCATCTAAAATGTACTCATTGAGTTCAGTGCACCCATTGAGTTCAATGCCAAAAGTATCCTAATGGAGTCCAACACCTAAAATGTACTCATTGAGTTCAGTGCACCCATTGAGTCCAATGCCAAAAGCATACTAATTGAGTTCTATAGCTAAATGTGCTCTTTTTGTTCAATGCACCAATTGAGTTGAATATCAAAAGTGTACTAATGGAGTCCAACATCTTTAATATGTACTCATTGAGTTCAATGCACCCATTGAGTCCGGTGCTTAAAGTTTACTGATTGAGTTCAATGAACCCCTTGAGTTCAATGTGTTAAATGCACTCATAGAGCTCAATGCATTACATGTACCCATCGAGTTCAATGACAATAGTGTACTAATGAAATCCAATGTCTAAAATGTACTCATTGAGTTCAGTGCACCCACTGAGTTCAATGTACCCATTGTGTCCAGTGCCTATAGTTCACTAATGGAGTCTAACATCTAAATTGTATTCTTTGAGTTCAGTGCACCCATTGAGTTCAATGTATTAAATGTACTCATAGAGGTCAATGCATTGCATGCACCCATTGAATTCAAGGCCAAAAGTGTACTAATGGAGCCCAGAACCTAAATTGTACTCATTGAGCTCAAAGGTACCCATTGAGTCCTACGCACAAAATGCACAGATGGAGTCCAGAGCGCCAACTGAATTCAAGACTACAAAGACCCCAATTTTCAGTAGTTCAGTGAGCAAAATGTGCACTATGGAGACCTGGGACGTTCTCTGGCCAAGAGTGGTCGGACGTCAGGCAACTACAACTCCCAGGATCCCCTGGCACAGATGCGCCCCTCACTCTCTCGCTCTCTTCCAGGTCAAGGCCGGCTGCATGCTCAACCTTTTGGGCATCGTGACCGTCTCCTTCGCCATCAACACCTGGGCCATCCCCATGTTTGACCTCCATCGCTTCCCTTCCTGGGCCAATGGGACCAGTGGTCAATGCTGATTTCTCTGGTCACGGACTGAGACTGTTAGGACTCCCTTTGGGGAGGGGATTCTGAGTTCGAAACCAGCCTTGTAACGGCTGCAGATGACGTATCCGGACACATGTGCAGAGTGCAAATGGTTTCCATGTCCAGCTGCTGTGCCGTCTAGACTTTGGACAAACTACAGAGCCCATCCTCCTGTTTATTGGGAGGTTCGGTGGGGTTTGGGGCAGGGGGATCTTGTAAGGGGTGAAAGGAACCATATTTTGTATAATAAAGATTATTTTGAACGACGACGGGAGCTGAGACTTCTATGATTTGGGCTCCAGATTGTGATCTTGAGTTATTTATCCCTGCAAAAGTCCCAAAAAGCTAACTTTGCCAAGCTCTGTTGTCCATATGAGACACAATGTTGGGTGCTTGTTTGAGCAACAAATCCCAGAATCCCCACAACAGTTATGGAAAACTGCCCTTTGGAGCTACAAGTCATATACAGGTCCTATAATACCCATGCCAGCTAAGGAAATATGCTTTTATTCCACAGGTCATGCCAACAATAGAAAGTTAATTTCGGATTATAGATCCCAGAGTCCCTACAAATGTATTAAATGTATTAAATAGAGCTCAATGCATTAAATGCACCAATTGAGTCCAATGCCAACAGTGTACTAATGTAGTCCAACGCCAAAAATGTGTTCATTGAGTTCAATTCACCCATTGAGTTCAGTGTCAAAAGTGTAGTAATACAGTCCAACGCCTAAAATATACTCATTGAGTTCAGTACGCCCATTGAGTTCAATGTCAAAAGTGTACGAATGGAGTCCAACATCTAAAATGTATCCATTGCGTTCAATACACTCATTCAATTCAATGTCAAAGGTATATTAATGGAGTCCAATGCCTAGAATGCACTCATTGTGTTCAGTGCACCCATTGAATTCAATGTCAACAAACAGTGTACTAATGGAGTACAACACCTACAATGTATTCATTGACTTCAATGCACCCATTGAGTTCAGTGTCAAAAGCGTAGTAATACAGTCCAACACCTAAAATATACTCATTGAGTTCAGTACGCCCATGAAGTTCAATGTCAAATGTGTACTAATGAGTCCAATGCCTAAAAAATACTCTTTGAGTTAAATGCACCCGTTGAGTTCAACATCAAAAGCGTACTAATGGAGTCCAACGCCTAAAAAGTACTCTTTGAGTTCAATGCACCCACTGAGTTCAATGTCAAAGGTGTACTAATAGAGTCCAACATCTAAAATGTATTCATTGGGTTCAATGCACCCATTGAGTTCAATGCATTGAATGTACGTATAGAGCTCAATGCATTACATGCCCCAATTGAGTTCAATGCCAAATGCGTAGTAATGGAGTCCAATGCCAAAAATGTACTCATTGAGTTCAGTGCCACCATTGAATTCAATGTCAAAAGCATACTAATGGAGTCCAACGCCAAAAATGTACTCATTGAGTTCAGTGCCACCATTGAGTTCAATGCCAAAAGCATACTAATGGAGTCCAACACCAAAAATGTACTCATTGAGTTCAGTTCACCCATTCATTGAGTTCAATGTCAAAAACGTACCAATGGAGCCAATGCCTAAAATGTACTCTTCTTGTTCAATGCACCCATTGAATTCAGTGCCAATGAACCATGTATTAATGGAGTACAACACCTAAAATGTACTCATTGAGTTCAGTGTATTAAACATACTCATAGAGCTCAATGCATAACATGACCCAATTGAGTTCAATGCCAAAAGCGTAGTAATGGAGTCCAACGCCAAAAATGTACTCATTGAGTTCAGTGCCCCATTGAGATCAATGTCAAAGTGTAATAATGGAGTCCAACACCAAAAATGTACTCATTGAGTTCAGTTCACCCATTGAGTTCAATGTCAAAAACATACCAATGGAGCCAATGCCTAAAATGTACTCTTCTTGTTGATCCCAAAATCCCTACAAAAGCTTTGAAAGCAACCATTGTGGACTATGGTTCCCATCATCCCCATGCCAGCTGTGTTAACATGGATTACAGATGCCATCACCCCCATGCCAGCAACAGAAAGCTGCTTGGCGTGTCGGGACAGCTCCGTCTCTTCCCCAACAAACCCCTTTCCGTGCCAAAAACCATCTGGGGCCCTGCCTTTGCTCGCGGGTGGGATCCAAAAGCACACAGCACTCCCCATCATCCCCGGCCCTCGGGGCCTGATCCTAATCGCGGCAGGTCAGACGAGTAGGAATCTGGCAGAGGGAGCATGCCCAAAAGGGAAGAAACAGGTGCCTTCGCTTCCTCCTAATGTTCCTTGCCCGTTAGAAAACCTATTCCTTTGTCTCTCGACTCCAATAGCTGCCAGCATTGGCCTAGACAGGTTATAAACATCTGACTTACAAACAACTCACAGTTAAGAACAGGATTGAGACAACAGGAAGGGAGTGGAATCTAACCCTTGGAAGGGAAATCCACTCCTGGAAGAGTTATTATTATGGGGGAAAAGGGTCTCCACTGACACTGAAACTTTTATGGGATCCCTCGCTACTTCGCGGTTCGCTTTTCGCGGACTTGCTGTTTCACGGTTTTTCAATATGGACTTAAGAGCGTTCGTCTGTACGGAGAGGCTGCCTCTGCAGACAAAGCCAGAGCCAAGGATTACATAAACAACACATTCAAGGAGGGTTATGTAGTGTGTAAGTATGTGGGGAGGGTTTATAAAGATTTAAAATAGTGTATAACTACGAAAATCTATATAAATAAAAATGTAATGTTCGTTTGTGGGATTAACAGAACTCAAAAAACACTGGACGAATCGACACCAAATTTGGACACAAGACACCTAACAACCCAATGTATGTCCTTCACTAAAAAAAAATAATGATTTTGTCATTTGGGAGTTGTAGTTGCTGGGATTTATAGTTCACCTACAATCTGAACCTCACCAACGATGGAACTGAACCAAACTTGGTACACAGTTCTCCCATGACCAACAGAAAGGTTTGGTGGGCAATGACCTTGAGTTTGGGAGTTGTAGTTCACCTCCTTCCAGAGAGCACTGTGGACTCAAACAATGATGGATAAAATGGGAGGGTTTGGTGGGCATTGACCTTGTGTTCAGGAGTTGTAGTTCACCTACATCCAAAGAGCACTGTGGACTCAAACAATGAGGGATCTGGACCAAACGAATACTCAATATGCCCAAATATGAACACTGGTGGAGTTTGGGGAAAATAGAATCTTGACATTTGGGAGTTGTAGTTGCTGGGATTTATAGTTCACCTACAATCACAGAGCATTCTGAACCCCACCAACGATAGAATTGGGCCAAACCTCCCACACAAAACCCCCATGACCATCAGAGTGGGCCACAGCAATGCATGGCAGGGGACGGCTAGTCTATATAAATAGAAATGTAATGTTCGTTTGTGGGACTAACAGAACTCAAAACCCACTGAACAAATTGACACCAAATTTGGACACAAGACACCTAACAACCCAATGTATGTCCTTCACTCAAAAAAATTTGATTTTGTCATTTGGGAGTTGCAGTTGCTGGGATTTATAGTTCACCTACAATCAAAGAGCATTCTGAACCCCACCAACGATAGAAGTGGGCCAAACTTCACACACAGAATCCCCGTGAGCAACATTATATTTGTGTGTGTGTGTGTATAATAAATGTAATGTTCGTTTGTGGGATTAACATAACTCAAAAACCACTGGACGAATTGACACCAAATTTGGACACAATATACCTATCAGGCCAACGAGTGACCATCACTCATAAAAATACAGAAAAATACAGCAGAAGAGACATAGAAAGCCAAAAAATAAAAACACATTACAATGCATGCGGAAAACCACAAACACATATATATGCAAACACACAAATACACATATACACACAGACAAAACACATATACACAGACTGGGCCACAGCAACGCATGGCAGGAGATTGCTAGTAATGTATAAATATTAAAATAAATATAACTTCCTACTTCGCGGATTTTCACTTTTTGCGGGTGGTCCTGGAACGTTACACCAGCTATATATATATATATAGGATGTGCAAATATTTGTTTTTAATTCGTTTTTCGGATCAAATTCGTTAGATTCGTCCAAGCCAAGAATGCACGACAACATTGGAAGGCTTGTTCTGATGGGCTTTCAAGTCGTTTCCGACTTCCTGAGACACTATAGTGGGCCTTGATTCGGTTTTGGGCACCCTCTGAGGCCGAGAGAGTGTGACTCACCCCTAAACCAGTCCTTCTGGGTGGCAAAAAGAAAAAGAGAGGACTTAACAGGCCTGATTCACACCGTTTTTACAGTGGGAAGGAGCCAAGGCTGGAGCGGCTAAACCGGCCGGCGGCGTGCCCTGATCCCGTGCCAAGGTGCCCAAAAATAACCCTCGCTTTATGGGCGCTAATGAGTACCCTCCGAGCAGGGCCCTATTAAAAACACACCTTGAAACAGGAGTCTTTCATTACAAATATATATATATATATACACACACACACACACACACTTCAAATTGTGCAGAAGTTGAGCTAAAAATGGCGACGAGCTCATGATGTGATGCTGCGGCGGAAGAGACCAAGATGATCCCATTTGGAAAATATTGCTGTCATAATAAAAATTACACTGTATATGCACACATATATATACACATACACACATATATATTTCCATTCAAACTGTGCAAAAACTGAAAATGAGTGCATGGTGTGATGGAGCTTAGCCTCTTTTCATTTGCCCTCCTCTTTCTCACCATCCTATCCTTCCCTCCTTCTCTCTCTCCTTCCTCTTTCTCCTTCCCTTCCACCCTTTCGTCCTTGCTTCCTTCTCTCCCTCCTTCCTCCTTCCCTCCCCCCTTCTCCTTCCCCTTCCTTCCTTTCCTCCTTCCTCTCCTTCCTTCCTTCCTTCCTTCCTTCCTCCTTCTTCCTCCTCCCTCCCCCCTCCTTCTTTCCTTTCTCCTTCTCTCTTCCTTCTCTTCTCCTTTCCTTCCTCTTTTTCCTTCCTTCTCTCCTTTCTTTCATTCCTTCCTTCCTTCTCTCTTTCTTTCATTCCTTCCTCCTCCCCTCCCTCCTTCTTCTTCCACCCTTTCGTCCTTCTTCTCTCCTTCCTTCCTTCCTTCCCGCTTCCCTCCCTTCCTTCTTTCCTTTCTTCCTTCTCTCTTTCCTTCCTCCTTCCCTCCCTCCTTCTCCTTCTATCCTTTTGTCCTTCCTTCTCTCCTTCCTCCCTTCTCGCTTTCCTTCCTTCCTTTTCTCTTCCCTTCCTTCCTTCCTTCCTTCATTCTCTCTTTTTCCTCCTTCCTCCTCTTTCTCTTCCTTCCTTCCTTCCTTCCTTCCTTCCTTCCTTCCTTCTTCCTCTCTTCCCTCCCTTCTTTCCTTCTTCCTCCCTCCCTCCCTCCCTCCTCCCCTCCCTCCCTTCCTCCCTCCCTTCCTCTTTCCTTTTTCCTTCTCTCCCCCTTCCTTCCTCTTTCCCTCCCTTTTCTCTTCTTCCTTCCTTCCCTCCTTCCTTCCTCTTTCCTTCTTCCTTCCTTCCTTCCTTCTTCTTTCCTTACCGCTTAGAGTCGCCGCGGCTGATATTTGCGGTATACAAAAGGAGTAAATAAATCCTCCTTCCTTCCTTCCTTCCTTCCTTCCCTTTTGTCTTTTTTTCCTTCTCTCTTTCCTTCCCCCTTCCTTCCCTTCCCTCCTCCCCCTTTCCTTCCATCCTCCTTCCACTTCCTCCCTTTCCTTCCCTTTTCCTCCTCTCCATCCTTCCTCCTTCCCTTTTGTCTTTCCTTCCTCTTCCTTCCTCCTTCCCTTCCTTTCTCCTTCCTCTTTCCCTTCCTCCCTCTCTCCCTCTTTCTCCTTCCATCCTTCCCTCCCTTTCATCCTTCCTTCTCTATTTCCTTCCTTTTTTTCTTTCCTTCCATTACCAGGCAGTCAGTCCTCCTCGCAGGGAGTCCCCCAAGTTAGAAAGTTTGCCCATGCCTGCTCAGGATGATGGGAGCTAGAGTCCAGGCCCAATATGGACAATTAGATAATCTATATAGATATATAAAGGTTTCCTTCCTAGCCGAAACACCCCCCACTCCACGCTAAGAATACCTGCTCCTGATGGGACTTGCAGGGAATTTGGGAGGGCTTTCCCCGCCGCTCTGTGTGTCCCCCGGAGCCACTTCCCAACAAGAGGGCATTCCTGCTGCGTGAAGCACTGCTGCCATAAATCTCCCTCACACCTGGTGCCTCTTCACCTGTCTTCTCAACCCCCCCCCAACCCCAAAACAGCCCCTCAAGGGACCCTAGGTAGGGGAAAGGGGGGGGGCTTGGCACTGCAGGCCCCAGCATCCCCCTGACCCCGAGCCATGGGAACAGCCCTGAGGAGCCCTTTGTTGTGGGGAGCGCACCCCAAGAAAAGGGCGGAAAAGGGCAGAGTCTCCCTGCCTGGCACCACCAGCTCGGCAGGCCCTTAATCACAATAATTAACCCAGCCGTAAAAAAAAAAAAAAAGGCATTTCACTGAGAAAGTTACAAATTGTGGCACCCTTTGAACCTGGCATTCGAACCCAGGGCTTGGCAAAGGGACAACATCCCAGCAAAGGGGTTCTGGAAGCTACAAAAGTAGCCTGCTTTTTCCCCCTTCCACTCTTTCATCCTTTCTTCCCTCCCTCCCTCTCTTTCATCTTTCCTTCTCTCTTTCCTCCCCCTTTCCTTCTCTCCCTTCCTTCCTTCCCTTCCATCTTTCCTTCCTTATCTTTCATCCCTCCTTCCCTCCCTACCTCCTTCCCTCCTTTCTTTCCCTCTTTCTCCCACAGTTCAAAAGAGATATTGACGAGGGCAACTAAAATGATCAAATGAATAATCCCTATGAGGAGCGGCTTAAAGATCTAGAGATGTTTAGCCTCCAGAAGAGAAGGTTGAAAGGAGACATATATAAGGATGTCAAAAGGTGTCCTAAGGAAGAGGGAGCAAGCTTGTTTTGAGACTGGGTTCAAATGACAAGAAAGGGGTTCCCATTTAACGTTAGGAAGAACTTCATGACTGTAAAAACTGTTCAACAGTGGGACTCTCTGCCTCAGTAGAAGCTCCTTCCTTGAAAGCTCCTGTCTGGTAGAAGATCCTTCCTTGGAAGCTTTGAAACAGAAGCTAGATGGCCATCTGTCAGGGATGTTTTGATTTTGCTTTTCCTGCATGGCAGGGGGTTGCTGATGGCCCATGGGGTCTCTTCAACTCTAGGATTCTATTATTATTATTGTTGTTATTTGAAACACAAAGATGAGTCCAGAGCAGACACAATCACTCTGCTGGCTGTTGTATTGGATCACACGTTCGGACACTTCCCAAGTGTCTAGACTGTGTGATGTATTATTATTATTATTATTATTATTTATTATTATTATTATTAGAAACACAACAATATGAGTCCACAGCACACATTATTATTATTATTATTATTATTATTATTATTTTACTGACAAAAACACAGTATGTCACAGCAAAGATATATGCTGGATTTCGTATCACAAAATCACAAGTCGAACAGTTCCCAAGCGTCTAGGACTGTGTGATTTATTATTATTATTATTATTATTATTATTATTATTATATACACAACAAGATGAGTACACAGCAAACAAGATCACTATTGGATCACACGTCGGACAATTCCTAAGTGTCTAGGACTGTGTGATGTATTATTATTATTATTATTATTATTAGAAACACAACAAGATGAGTCCACAGCATTATTATTATTATTATTATTATTATTATTATTATTATTTTACTGACAGAAAAACACAGTATGTCACAGCAAATGAGATATATATGCTGGATTTCGTATCACAAAATCACAAGTCGAACAGTTCCCAAGCGTCTAGGACTGTGTGATTTATTATTATTATTATTATTATTATTATTATTATTATTATATACACAACAAGATGAGTACACAGCAAACAAGATCACTATTGGATCACACGTCGGACAATTCCTAAGTGTCTAGGACTGTGTGATGTATTATTATTATTATTATTATTATTAGAAACACAACAAGATGAGTCCACAGCATTATTATTATTATTATTATTATTATTATTATTATTATTTTACTGACAGAAAAACACAGTATGTCACAGCAAATGAGATATATATGCTGGATTTCGTATCACAAAATCACAAGTCGAACAGTTCCCAAGCGTCTAGGACTGTGTGATTTATTATTATTATTATTATTATTATTATTATTATTATTATTATTATATACACAACAAGATGAGTACACAGCAAACAAGATCACTATTGGATCACACGTCGGACAATTCCTAAGTGTCTAGGACTTTGTGAAGTATCGGCGGACAATGCTTGCAGATCCAAGTAGGGTGGCCTTTTGCTGCTGAAAGATGGTAATTTTGTGTTTAAGTGCAGGCCAAGGTCTTGAGGCACTGCACCCAGTGTGCCGATTACCACTGGGACCACCTTGACTGGCTTGTGCCAGTGTCTTTGCAATTCGATCTTTGAATCCTCGTATTGTATTGTATTTTCCAGTTGTTTATCTTCAATCCTGCTGTCACCTGGGATTGCAACATTGATCATTATTATTAATAATTATTATTATTAATTAGTAATAATAATTAATTAGGAGTTCCAGGTGGTGCAATAGATTAAACCCTTGTGCTGGCAGGACTGAAGACTGACAGGTTGAAGGCTTGAATCCAGGGAGAGTGCAGATGAGCTCCCTCTGTCAGCTCCAGCTACCCATGCATCGCCCGACAGCTGAGAAGGGCAGTATACAAATACAGTAAATAAATAAATAAATAAATGCGGGGACATGAGAGAAGCCTCCCACAGGGGTGGTCAAACATCAAAACATCCGGGCAATGTCCTTGCAGACAGCCAGTTCTCTCACACCAGAAGCGACTTACAGTTTCTCAAGTTGCTCCTGTCACAAAATAATAATAATAATAATAATAATAATAATAATAATAATAATTTATTCTCTATATAGCTCTTATTCCACTCTTAATCAAGACTCACAGTACCAAACATGTCGCTCCTGACATGACAAAAAAAATATTAATTTATTATTCTTGACTCAAAAACACAGTATGTCACAGCAAACGAGATCTATATGCTGGATTTTGTATCACAAAATCACAAGTGGAACACTTCCCAAGCGTCTAGGACTGTGTGATATATTTATTATTATTATTATTATTATTATTATTATTATTATTATTATTATTATTATTAAGCAGAAGCTGTACAGCCATCTGTAAGGGATCCTTCGATTGTGCTTCTCCTGCATGGCAGAAAGGGGTTGAACTAGATGGCCCATGTGGTCCCTTCCAACTCTATTATTCTGTGATTCTAGATTTGAGAATTGCAGCTCGCTCACCTTTTCCCCTCTTCTCTTCTGTTCCCTCCCTCTATTATAATTCTCTCTCTCTCTCTTTTTTAATAGGAGGCAGGAGGGCCCCGAGGGCGAAAGGTGCTGATATCATAATCCACGGCTCTCCTGCCGCCCATCCAGAGGCCGGGAGCGCCTCCCAGGATGTGGAACGCACCTCCTTCTGCACTGCTTTGCCACGGATCTCGCATTTGCCACCAGCCACTTGCCAACACCGGTCTCCACCGCTGCTCTGCTTAACCAGGTAAGGCAAAACCATCCCTAAACAGGTGTCACATTCGCACTCGGCACAATTCTCCGTCAGCCTCCCATTCGGGGTCAGAGGTGAGAATGAGGAATTCCACCTGAACATTTAGAAGAGCTTCCTAACTGTGAGAGCTGTTCAACAGTGGAACTCTCTGCCCTGGAGAAGAAAGGAGATTCCACCTGAACATTTAGAAGAGCTTCCTAATTGTGAGAGCTGTTCATTGGTGGAACTCTCTGCCCTGGACAGGAAAGGAGATTCCACCTGAACATTTAGAAGTGYTTCCTAACTGTGAGAGCTGTTCAACGGTGGAACTCTCTGCCCTGGACAGGAAAAGAGATTCCACCTGAGCATTTAGAAGAGCTTCCTAACTGTGGGAGCTGTTCAACGGTGGAACTCTCTGCCCTGGACAGGAAAGGAGATTCCACCTGAACATTTAGAAATCCTTTCTAACTGTGAGAGCTGTTCAACAGTGGAACTCTCTGCCCTGGACAGGAGAGGCGATTCCACCTGAGCATTTAGAAGAGATTCCTAACTGTGGGAGCTGTTCAACAGTGGAACTCACTGCCCTGGAGTATGGTGGAGGCTTCTTCTTTGGAGGTTTTGAAACAGAGGTTGGATGGCCATGGCTTTTGTATTGGATCACACGTTGGACACTTCCTAAGTGTCTAGGACTGTGTGATGTATTAGCGAATAATGTACGCAGATCCGAATGGCCTTTTGCAGCTGACAGATGGTAATTTTGTCAGCACTGATTGTTTTTAAGTGCAGGCCAAGGTCTTGAGGTACTGCACCCAGTGTGCCAATCACTACTGGGGCCAATTTGTGCCAGAGTCTTTGTAGTTTCTGATCTTTAAATCCTCATATCGTGTAAGTTTTTCTGGTTGCTTCTCGTCAATTTTGCTGTCACCTGGGACTGCAACATCGATGATCCATACTGTGTGTTTTTTTCCATGAATGTGAGGTCAGGAAAATAATAATAATAATAATAATAATAATAATAATAATAATAATAATAATACAATTTAAATACGATTTAAGTCATCTGTCAGGGGTGCTTCGATGATGCTTTTCCTATGTGACAGGGGGTTGGATTAGATGGTCCATGGAGTCTCTTCTCACTCTATTATTATTATTATTATTATTATTATTATTATTATTATTATTATTAGTATTAGATACACAACAATATTAGTACACAGCAAACAAGATAATTATAATTATAATTATAATTATGGCTGGATGGCCATCTGTCAGGAGTGCTTTGATTGTGCTTTTCCTACATGACAGGGGGTTGGACTACATGGCCCATGGAGTCTCTTCCCATATTATTACGATTATGATTGTGATTATTATTTGATACACAACAATATTAGTACACAGCAAACAAGACTATTATTATTGTTGTTATTATTGTTATTATTATGGCTGGATGGCCATCTGTCAGGAGTGCTTTGACTGTGCTTTTCCTACATGACAGGGGGTTGGACTACCGGCCCATGGAGTCTCTTCCCACTCTATTATTATTATTATTATTATTATTATTATTATTATTATTATTATTATTATTTGATACACAACAATATTAGTACATAGCAAACAAGATGATGATGATGATAATGGTTTGATGGCCATCTGTCAGGAGTGCTTTGATTGTGCTTTTCCTACATAACAGGGGGTTGGACTAGATGGCCCATGAAGTCTCTTCCCACTCTATTATTATTATTATTATTATTATTATTATTATTATTATTTGATACACAACAATATTAGTACATAGCAAACAAGATAATGATGATGATGATGATGATGGTTGGATGGCCATCTGTCAGGAGTGCTTTGATTGTGCTTTTCCTACATGACAGGGGGTTGGACTAGATGGCCCATGGGATCTCTTCCAACTCTATTATTCTATGATTCTATGAAATAGGAACTCAACGGGCCTTTGGCACCTAGTGCTATATGTAGATGATATGGCATGGTTTGCACCGATATACAGGGGCCAATTTTGTCTCCATAGCCTTTCTCTCATCTATGATTCTATGTAATCCGTTTCGCAAGGAAAGAAAAGATGGTATGAAGTGGAGAAAAAGAACAGAGAGATCCATTCGGGAGATACCGTTCCAGGGAGATTAGCAGCAGCAAGGAAGGGAGAGGTGTTGGCTTTGATACACCTTCCCTTCTCCCGGGGCCGGATCCCTGTGCGAATCCTCCTCTCTTCACACTCACAGGGTTATTTGGGCACCCCAGGTGAGTGTGGGAGGAATCATAGTGGGAAAGAGACTTGGGAGGACTGCAACTCCCAGCATCCCCAAAGCCATGGCCTCTGCACTCACTCAGAAAGCTGGGAAAGTATTATTTATTTTTAGATATTGGATTTAAACCTGGTCTTACCAAACATGGTGCCTTCTGCATGGGTTGGACTATATTTCCCATCATCCCCAGCCTGTTATTTACCCACTGGCTGTGAAAGTAACTTCTTTATGATATTATTTCTATTTTTAAATGCTTTTCTTGTTTTCTTTGGTAGATAAAGCTAAAGGCCTTGTAGAACTATAACTCCCAGGGAGTTTTTACATTGCCTCTTTCTTTCTGAGGCTGAGAGAGTGTGACTCGGCCTTGTAGAAATATAACTCCCAGAGAGTTTTGCCCTTGCCTCTTTCTTTCTGAGGCTGAGAGAGTGTGACTCACCCAAGGCCCACCTATTGACTTATAAGAGTTGTTCAACAATGGAATGGAATGGACGACCATCTTTGGAGAGCAAACAAGATGATGATGATGATGATGGCTGGATGGCCATCTGTCAGGAGTGCTTTGATTGTGCTTTTCCTACATGACAGGGGGTTGGACTAGATGGCCCATGAAGTCTCTTCCCACTCTATTATTTCATTATTTATTTATTTTATTTATTACTGCGCTTGTATACCGCCGTTTCTCAGCCTAAATTGGCGACTCAACGCGGTTTACAACACTACAACAATCAATAATATTCAATTTAAAAAGCATAAAAAACACATACACAGTACACAGTATTGGGCCACCAATAACAATCCAATGCATCTCTTAACTAAAATCGCAATCCAATTTCGTCGTCTGTGATTACCAGTCCTTTGATCATCAAATTCATTGCACCGGATTAACCGAATGCTTGTTTGAACATCCATGTCTTCAATCTTTTTCGAAACACCATCAGCGAGGGGGCTGATCTTACCTCTATGGGGAGGGCGTTCCAAAGCCGAGGGGCCACCACAGAAAAGGCCCTGTCTCTCGTTCCCGCCAGCCGCACTTGTGAAGCCGGCGGGATAGAGAGCAGGGACCCTCCAGAAGATCTTAGGGTCCTGGTGGGCTGATAGGCTGAGATACGTTCGGATAGATAAGTTGGGCCAGAACCGTTTAGGGCTTTAAAGGCCAACGCCAGCACTTTGAATTGAGCCCGGTAGCAATTCGGCAGCCAGTGGAGCTGGTGCAGCAAAGGAGTTGTGCGCTCCCTGCGCTCCGCTCCTGTTAGTATCATGGCTGCCGAACGTTGGACTAATTGGAGCTTCCGAGCCGTCTTCAAAGGCAACCCCACGTAGAGAGCGTTGCAGTAGTCAAGACGGGATGTAACCAGAGCGTGGACTACCGTGGCCAAGTCAGACTTCCCAAGGTACGGTCGCAGTTGGAGCACAAGTTTTAACTGTGCGAATGCTCCCCTGGTCACCGCCGAAACCTGGGGTTCCAGGCTCAGCGATGAGTCCAGGATCACACCCAAACTGCGAACCTGCGTCTTCAGGGGGAGTGCGACCCCGTCTAACACAGGCTGTAACCCTATACCCTGTTCGGCCTTACGACTAACCAGGAGTACCTCTGTTGGATTCAATTTCAGTTTGTTCGCCCCCATCCAGACCGTCACAGCCAAGCACCGGTTCGGGACCTGGACAGCCTCCTTAGTAGCAGTTGGGAAGGAGTGACAGAGTTGGACATCATCTATGTACCGGTGACACCGTACCCCGAAACTCCGGATGATCTCCCCCAGTGGCTTCATGTAGATGTTAAAAAACATGGGAGACAGTATTGAACCCTGAGGAACCCCACAAGACAAAGGTTGTGGGGTTGAACAGGAGTCTCCCAGTAACACCTTCTGAGACCGACCCTCGAGGAATGAGCGGAGCCACTGCAGAACAGTACCTCCAAGACCCACCCCGCGAGGCGTCCCAGAAGGATACCGTGGTCGACGGTATCGAAGGCCGCTGAGAGGTCGAGCAGCACCAACAGGGACACACTCCCCGTCGAGCTCCCGACGCAGATCATCCACTAAGGCGACCAAGGCTGTCTCGGTACCATGCCCCGGCCTAAAGCCAGACTGTGCCGGATCCAGATAATCCGTGTCTACCAAGAATGCCTGGAGTTGTGAGGCCACCACACGTTCCAGACTTTGCCCAAAAAGGGGAGATTGGAAACAGGCCGATAGTTGACGAATTGAGTGGGGTCCAGTGATGGTTTCTTTAACAGCGGTTTTATTACAGCTTGCTTTAAGCTGGCTGGAATTTTGCCTTCCCGAAGGGAGGCATTAACCACCACCTTCACCCACTCGGCCAATCCCCCTCTGGCCTCCTTCAGAAGCCAGGATGGGCAGGGGTCTAGGATGCATGTGGTAGCTCTCATTCCTCCAAGCACCTTGTCCACATCCTCGGATTGAACCAATTGAAATGAATCCATCAAAACTGGACAAGCAGATGCTCGTGTTACATCCTCAGAGACTGCCGTTAATATGGTATCCAGTCCAGAGCGGATCAAAGCGACTTTGTCTGCAAAGAACTGAGCAAAAGCTTCACAGCGAGCTGCCGAGTCATCAGGGCACCCATCCTGAGTGGCGGGTTTTAACAGTGGTGGGTTTTATTATTATTATTATTATTATTATTATTATTATTATTATTATTATTATTATTATTATTTGATACACAGCAATATTAGTACATAGCAAACAAGATGATGATGATGATGATGATGATGGTTGGATG